TGCTCACCTTGACACTTATGGGCCGAAACGAACTGAAAACTCTTATCCCGATCCTTTACTCTAATTACACACAACAAAAACGCAGTTACTTATTGATTCCTACTATTCTGTTTTCTAGTGGAGATGGCTACCCACGCATAAGGCATACAGGCGTGTGGTAATTAAGGAGAGTGCGCCTGAGAAGGCTAATGGAAGACACCTTATTGCAGGAGGCGTCATCGCTAAATTAGAGCTCGGTGCATACGGCCGGTGTATACTGTCGGTGTGGCGAGTGGCTCGAATCGCGTGGCAACAATTTGCACCAGCTCAACATACCTTTTGCTACGAATTGCGAACTTGTCATTGATGAGCTTTTATCGCATCGAGCATTTTTTCGTCTAATTTCAGCGCTAATTTTTGTGCCTTGCCTAACCACCGTTTCCAATTCTTCAGAAATTTCGGGTTGGGCAGATGCGGGAGCGAGTTGCGGCTCTTTGCCTCTTCACGCATATTGAAGATGAGCCGCTAGCGAAATTAGGCAGCACCAAACAAATATCGTGGAATTGATGACAATTTATACCATCTGACAACATTGAAATAAAGAAATGAATTCTCTTGCCTTTACTCCACTCTTGTTTTGCTTGCCTTCGAATTCATTTTATGAGCTCGGTCCTCAAAATTTTGGCCAGAAAGTAATCGGTGACCCTACTAAATGAGAAGAGCTATTGTTCATTTCCCTTGCGGTGTTTTTCTTCTAAAAGAACATTGTCGTGACTCTGCTTTTGCGTAACCAGATTGCTTTTGGTCGTTAGATATTGCTTTTTTTATTTTCATTATCCTTGGGGTCCAGCCCGCATGCAATATCATTTGGTTGCACTCTCTGGAATGATATACGACAGGATATTTTCAGGATATTCTCTTGATTGGAAATGCATCTAACAAATTATCTTATAAAAATATGATACAACCACAACCGTTGTCACTTGCAAACCATATATCAGTTATCTCTTATTATTCAGCGAGTATATTTCGATCGCTGCGATCCTTACAAATTTTTAATAACAATGTTTTTGTTTTGAAATTTAGTTTATTTTTCATTTATGACCAAAATTCTGGTATTCAAAAATATTCTTCATCTTTTAACACAATCATGAACCCCATCTGAAAAAAACTTTTTGTTTCGAAGTTTACCCTCATATATCCAACTTTTTATTTGGCATGATGCCTCTAAGCTTCAATGCCGTGTTTGCATTTTCGAATTTTTCATTCGCCGGCAAGAGCAAGGAATTCGCAATAAGCCTTCGGGTGGAATAGGCCTAAATGTTACAGGATGGGGGGGCGGGTTGTGCAATCCGGCAAACCGGCAAACGGGTGCATTGCTAGCTAGAATATGTTTAGCACGCTATTTTTCCGTCCTATACTTACGCTATTTTTCCATGTTACCTACGTGCTTTTGCATTTTTTGCGCTATTTTTCATTGTTTTAGATGCTTCTTTCTTTGTTGGATACGTTATTCTCCATGTTACATGCTAAAATATTTTTCCATCTCACTACCACTATTTTTCCCATTTCTTTCACAGAAGCGGGAATGTTTTGCAGGAAGCAGATCGAGTCGCTCGATAGATCATGATTGTAATGTTATTTCAATCTATTCACAATCGTGCGGCATCCGATAGGGTCTCTTCAATGTCTACGGACATAACAATACAATTTGCGAACAGTTCTATTGGTTGGCGAGGTTTCCCAAAAACCTCGTTTGGGGTATCATTTTATGCGTTCATGCAATGATCCCAGATTTGTGGAGATGTTGTTAATTTCGTTGCGTGATCGCTTATAGGCTATTTGGTTTATAGAAGAGAACGTGTGTTTGAATCTTCAAGACGGAATTATAAAGACATACCAGTTGCATGAGTGATGATATATGGATGGAATATTAAAAGTAAGTACGAAATTTAATCACTTTTCCTTATTTTGTAGTGAAATAATCTTGAGAGGTTTCGTTTTGAAGGCAAAACCAGTTGATTAGATTAGGTTTGATTTTATACGATTTTTTTTTTTTATACGATTATATATTTACCAAACCAACGTCTCTAGATCTTTATAATCCTTGGATTGCTATATACATAATGTGCGGTGTATAGTCCGGCAGACCTGCACCTTGATACTCAACGTTCCATTGTTGGTAATCGGAATCGGCGAACTAAGACAAAAAATCACTTTATTAACATTCAGTTATTCAAATTGTTTTTTATTAACCATTGTTTTTACTCTGAAAAGCTAAAAACAAAAAACAAGCCGATCCATTTTTCAGAAGATTAAAGAACAGCGTGGAGTATTCCACTGAGTGTGACGTGAATCCGATGTTAAAATTTCATCTCCGGCATAAATTCCACACCCACTGAGGTTACAGTAAATCGCAAAAAGTCTAATTTCCTAACAGGATTAGATTTGTAATGATCTTCAGTGGACAACATTCACATATCTGACGTATAGATGAGTTTGATTGACGGCAGCGGTTATACGCAAAGATAGCCTCTAACAATATGATAACAAATAACCTGCCTTCTATTAGAATAGAATAGAATAGAAGGGTCGGCGCTGAAGAAATAGGCCCATGGCCTGTTGCCGATTCTTGAACTTTCGTGACTTGATTCACAAGGGATCCGGCCTTTGGAACCCGNTTGTGCGTCCCGTAACATTATTTATTTGGAGCGAATATTTTGCACGAGTTTCATTTTTGCTTGAAATTCTGTTGCTCTCGTTGACATGACAGAAAAATATTTTTCTTAACTAAGTTTTTCACTCAGATATGTTTTGAAATTAATCCAAGCGTATGCGTTTGCTTGCAGGACATTGCTAAACTGGAGGGAGGAGTAGAACCTCCTGAACTTCCCTCATCCCTCCTGTACCCTCAAGCTTCCCCTCACGTAACTGCCATCCCTCTTCCCTCTTCCCCACGAGCCGTTCCCTTTCTGTCCTTCTCTCAGCAGCAAGACACAAGAAGCGAAGGTAACCTGCAATACGACCTGAAAGACGTCCCGAGCGTGTCTCTACTTCACAACCCAAAACAGGTCCTCAAAACCAATAGTTTGCATCCATCCAGTAAGGGAATCTCATCGTCAAACGGCGTACTTTCTCACAATATCGACAAGACAGACAAACTTGATAATTACGTAGACAAAAGTGTATATACAAAAGAAAAGGAGTTCATAGAACTAGCAGCATTCGAATCAATACCCTGTCTCTTATACACATCTAGATGTGTATAAGAGACAGGTAATAATTCAATGAAGTAATAGTTAAAGTAAGAAAGTAATAATTCAAGTAAGAAATTAATAGTTAAGTAAGAGCGTAATAAATAATTATTTCGTGGCCAAAGAATAATTCAAGTAAGAAAGTAATAATTCTTGCCTGGCAAAACTTAGTCCACAAAAAAATGATCAAGTTCGCTTGAACCAAGCCGCCACATGTCGGTATTTAAATGGTGTGACTTTCACCATCGCTTATTTGAGAACACAGCAATTGTACGATGCAAGTTGCGGCATTAGACACGAATAAAGATTTCAGCTTGAGAAATATGCTCTGCATCAGTTGTTATTTGGCCGGCTTATGCACGTATGTCTCAGGTTCTAATTTCTAATTCATCGCGCCAGCTGGATAAATTTGTGGAACGGAAGATTGTGCATTTAGAGAATCAATTTGTGTTTCTTGGTTAGGCCAGGCTGTCGGCGTCGAATGGCTCACACGTTTAACGCGTTATATGACAAGACTTCAAGGCCTCATTGTACATAAATAATTTCCTCGGATAGTTACTTAGTCAATTAGTGCTCTATAATGTAGTATCTTCAGGTTAGTTGCTGTATTCGAGCATCGTTATTAATTTGTTCTTTGTTTATTGTTGGCTTTAATTTTTAGCGGATTGTTTCTGTAAATTGCAATCAAAAGCAATCTTTCTGGAAATTTCAATCTTTCTGTCCTCGTTGTATGCAGAATTTTTGAGGCCCTTGCAGAACAAATTTCTCGACAGAAATTCAAGATGAAACTCATGTGAACTCAAACATTCGCCGTGTCCTGTCCGACTCTTCGTCTCGTTCATCTTGACGCCGTACTTCTCGTCACTAAATTTTTACACGACGTTACGCCGTATATGCACTGCTGGGTCCTCATTTTATTCACGAAAACTGATTATTTTCTTTGTTGAACTCATAAACATGCAGTCAAAGAACCTTACCTAAAATTCCTTTGCACTTCATCTCAGTTAAATTCGTTTCATTTGGATAATTAAAATCACTATTCACTTGCTAATCTATTAAAACAGCGGTATCTATTTGAACCTAACTAAACCTAACCAAACCAAGCCTAACCTAACCTACTCGTCATGAATCCGTTTATCGGCTCCATGTTATCTATTATATTTACCTTAACGTCTTTCTCAACGATAAAATGTGTTTCTTAATTTAACTCGCGAACTGTGCAATTCAAGATACGAAAGTACAGCATTAGCATATTAGCGAATAGTTATTTATACAATACTTCATACTGGTGTACTTACGGAAAAAGTTGTCAAAACTTTTTTTCAGTGATGAATTAATTTCAACTTCTCATAATCTACATTCGAAAACCCTAATGTATCGGACACTTCGAGTATCCCGGTATTCTATACATCTTTCTTGTCAACGCATCCCACCCTAAACTTGAAGTCTCTTTCATCTTCCACACGTGAAGTATCCCATCCGTGCAAAGCTAGAAGCATCCTACACCTCTTACCAAGTGGCCCCGTGGATAAAGTTAAGAGCCTCGATCGCGATTAGACTAGTGAGCTGCGAGTTTAAAATCCGTGGCAAGCTGTGAATAAACGTGTGATTTCTATAATTGGTAACAGGCTATATTTGCTTAATCGACGACATCACTACTTCTATCAATAAAAACTATTGAAGATTCCTAGTACCGCACACACCTAACATAAAAACTGAAATATTTTCTAAAATGTTTATGTCATATAACCCAAATTACTTTTTTTCAGGTTACTTCTATTCTGAAACGAGTTAATGAATTCAAAACCACTCCCGAATACGCCTAATTATAATAAGTTAGCATGAATGTCAAGTTTGCTAGTCATTAAGCCTGAAATTCTGCGCAATGCTGCGGCGCTTGCGCATCAAGTCGGTGGTGGCGCTGCTGGCGGTGGCCTGCTGTGTCCTCGTCTTCTTGTGCACCGACTTTGGATCGTCCCGGCAGCCACGGTCCCCCTCTGCTAGACGTCTGCACATCGTCAGGATCACGTCAGAGGTACGATCTTTTTTTAAAGAACCTATCAATGAACCAATAAATACGAGTGCGAATTTGAATGAACCAATTGGCACGAACGACCCAATCAGCACGAATGAACCAATTGGCGCGAATGACCCAATCAGCACGAATGAACCAATTGGCACGAATGAACTCATCGTATGAACCGAGTAACACGAAACAAATGGTATCGTTCGGTAATATAGGAAGTTTCTTTGGTATTTACTCTCATTCAGAGTGATTGATTCTGTACNGGAAGTTTCTTTGGTATTTACGCTCATTCAGAGTGATTGATTCTGTACAAAGTTCAAAACCTGGGAAAAATTCTGCAACGGTTGGTTTGTATGACAGTTTGAGAGATGATATTGATACACTGAAGAGTATTTTAATATAATGAAGACGAATGTAACGTAGTTTGTGAAAACGTTTTGTAAAATATTGCTGAAATTTGCAATGAAAATTGTGCAAGAAGATTGTATCAAATTGGAAAATTTGTAGATGCTCAGCGATGCAAGATAAAGTATGATGTATAGAGCGAGAGTTTATTGTTTTATGAATATATGAGAAATGGTGAACTGAAAAGGGACATCGTGTGAACTCATTTGCTTTATTATCATCCCAGTCATTATCGTATAAAATTTTTTATTTATCTAATGATTATCTAGATAATAAGTCAAGTTTTAGTTACTGCCTCGTCCTCGAAAAGTTCATAGTGATCAAACAAAAAATATTTCATTAAATGCTTTCCTTACTTTTCAAGAACCTGATCCTGCTACCTATGCTGAGTCAGTTGATTAAAAGCAAGTGTTGAAAATATGAATATTGAAGCTAAATTTGAAATTCAAGCTTGATATTTGCATAATTTCGTCAGTTCATTTGTAACGTAGATGCTGCATACATACTTAAACCTTCAAAAACTCCTCATCTGAGTTAAATTTTTAAACGCACTACCAAGTTATCGATTGCTGAATTTCTCGAGTAATGTTGGTTTTTATGATGTAGATTTTGACCGTACGCTTGTGAAATCTCCCGTTCATCCAGACATCAGTTTGGAATTATTGTTAACAAGTTATAGAGTTCAATGTTTGAAATTAACCATGTACATAGTATCCATACTGGTATTTTTCGTGACTTGTGCGTCCCGTAACATTATTTATTTGGAGAGGATATTTTGCACGAGTTTCCTTTTTGCTTGAAATTCTGTTGCTCTCGTTGACAAGACAGAAAAATATTTTTCTTAACTAAGTTTTTTACTCAGATATGTTTTGAAATTAATCCAAGCGTATGCGTTTGCTTGCAGGACATTGCTAAACTGGAGGGAGGAGTAGAACCTCCTGAACTTCCCTCATCCCTCCTGTACCCTCAAGCTTCCCCTCACGTAACTGCCATCCCTCTTCCCTCTTCCCCACGAGCCGTTCCCTTTCTGTCCTTCTCTCAGCAGCAAGACACAAGAAGCGAAGGTAACCTGCAATACGACCTGAAAGACGTCCCGAGCGTGTCTCTACTTCACAACCCAAAACAGGTCCTCAAAACCAATAGTTTGCATCCATCCAGTAAGGGAATCTCATCGTCAAATGACGTGCTTTCTCACAATATCGACAAGACAGACAAACTTGATAATTACGTAGACAAAAGTGTATATACAAAAGAAAAGGAGTTCATAGAACTAGCAGCATTCGAATCAATACCTGCGAAAAAAAGAAAAAGACTGGAGAGGTATTTATCTCATCTGAGTCAAGATCAATTCGATGAAGTGTTCCGCAATGTCCTCGGCTACGAAAACAATCAATATGACCTCGAAATGCTGAAGTTTCCCAACGATAAAAAGGTTGTTAAAAGTCCTGAGGATGGAAAGGATATAACATCGACTCCAAAGTCGGGAAAGTCCCTAGATCTGACTAACCGTACCCGTTCTCAGGACCGAGGGCGCTGCCTTAGCGGGTGCCCTGACCACAAACCCATCAGCGTGCACACGAGGGGCTACGCCGCGCGCGTCAAGGTGAGGGAAACTAAGGGGCCAATGATTGCAATGATAAGGCTAATGATTGCAATGATAAGGCTAATGATTACGATAATAAGGCTAATGATCGCGATGCTGCATGCGTCAAGGTGAGGAAACTCCGGGGCCAATGATTGCGATGATGACAAGGCTAATGATAGCGGTTATGACAAGGCTAATGATTGCGATACTGCACGCGTCGAGGTGACGGAACTCCAAGAAAAATAATTGCGATTCTGCCATGGCAAATGATTGCGATGCTGACAATGCATATGGTTGCGATGCTGACAAAACCAATCCCGAATACGCTACGCAAATGATTGCGATGCTGCACAAATATTGCAATGCTGACAATGCACATGGTTGCGATGCTGACAATGCACATGGTTGCGATGCTGACAATGCAAATGATTGCGATTCTTATAAGGTAATAGATTGAGGCCAGGGTAACTCTAAAGCTGTGGCCTCCAAGATGTTATTGTATCAAAACCCTCTTCTCTATAGTTCTTCTAATACTCCTTGACATGTTCTCCTTGACTCGTACTTCTTGACCAGTACTTCTTGATTAGTACTTCTTGACTAGTACTTCTTCACTAGTACTTCTTGACTAGTACTTCTTCAATAGTAATTCTTCACTAGTATTGTACTTCTTCACTGGTATTCTCAGCTGTATCGTACGAGGGTTTATCTACCCACTCTTTTATATAGGTACATATAATGACGATCGATGGTTGAAGAATTTCTGGGGGATGGATTTCCTCTTTCACTCGCTGTTGCTTTACGTTCATCACAACCAGGAAGAAGCGATTAGGAAATTAAGTATAATACTTTATTAATTTATAAGACTCTGATTGAAAATATAATTGAAATGACTTGTGTTGAAGCATTCAAAAAGGAATTTAAAGCATGGCCAAAATACTGAAAGCCACAGGTGACGAACGGAGTAAAATTCTGATTGGATTTCAAATTCCAGTTTTAATTAACTCATTGTTGATTTCTTATTCATTGCGAAGGGCTTGCTTAGAATACCTTGTGGTACGGGGACGTCCATATTCAAGTGATACAGGATATAGATGGAAATTGAAATGCGTTCATTTATTTTTCACCAGCAGCATATTAGCCGCGGCATTGAGACACAGCCTTCCTTAGCGTTTATATATTTTGTAAAAAAGCATGGCTGCACGTTGCTCAAATCGACATGGCTCTCCTCGTCTTAGAAAAATGGCTTTTATAATAGTGTCTAATGTAAAGTTCGTGGCTTTTGTCGTATTGTTACTTCAAAAGACTTTTCACGTTCCTGGATTGAGATCGTTCAAATATTTAACAGAGTGTGATAGTTAAAAAACTCAAACAAGAGTGTACAGTTCGTTTGATAATTCGTGTATATAAGATTATGTTCGATATTTGTGAGTGATTTTCCGTTTTTTTATTTGTTCAGCAATTCGTTGCTTAGATTATGAGTGATCGATATTCGATTGGTCTTTCGAACACAAATAGCGAATTACTTATTGTAAATCGTATTGTTCAATTCTACCTCATTGTTTTTTCTACAATTCTTGCAAGCATTAATCCTCTTGACTCGTTTATATACATGCAATAAATATATATAATAATACAAATAAAAATAGTCAATTTAAACTCGTTTTTCAATGCAGATTGAAAGCGTGACGCTGCCTCCCGAGTGGTCCTCATCGCCTGAAGACGAGCAGCGCCTGCAACTACGCAAATCCCGCGTTAAAGAGGTTATCATTTTCTTATATGTATTATTTTTTACAAACAATACTACTAATGTAAAGTTAATGATTAAATAATTTGATAGATTTGATTATCTTGATAATTTTCACGTGTAGCTATTTTTTAATCTTTAAATGCAAGCATGAGACGCGCGGCGACTTAAAACACCTCTACTTTAATGCATAAACACTTATTCATAATCGATCTCCTGATTATGCACTTCATAATCACAAATTTATGGGACAAATGTCATGAATTCCTTAAAAAATAATTTCATTGTTCTTCAGATATTTGAAGGAAGAAATTAAAGTGAATATTTGACATATTCCAATTAAATTATTTGCTATGCATTGGAAATCGATAGAATAGATATGTAAAAATGAAGGTTTTTCTGGAAGCCTGCATGCTTGACGTAAGATTTGAAAATATAACTCAGTACTCACTGCAGTGAGTGACAGAGAGCGCATTTTCTCGTCGACTAAAACGTGAAGTCACGGACGGACAGACAGACAGACCGACAGACAGAAAGACAGACAGAAGGACAGCCGGACGGACGGAATGGCGAGCACAATAGCGCTTTTTTTCATAAATGAGAAAATGCGCTAAAAATAAAAGTGATTCTTATGCTTGGTATTCTAAATCGATTGATGGATGAAAATTGACACGTCTTACAGGTATATAACTTACTAGTTTATAAATTTCATCGTGAACGAAGGATGCTGGCGATTGCGATGTTCTACGCTGCATCAATTGATTCTTTGAAGGTCTGTCATCGGCACGGGTTGGACGTTGCGGGTCCGAACAACAGCATCAACGCCTGGGAGTTCCTCATCAATAAAAAATTCAACCTAGTGTGGTGTAGCGTCTTCAAGGCTGCGTCCTCTACGTGGTTCTACAACTTCAACATTCTGGCGGGATACTCTGAGAACTTTCTTCTCAGGTCTAAAGAGACGCCCATTACTCTAGCTCGTCAAAAATATGCCAGGTATGTGGCACATGATATACGATGTTCTACGCTGCATCAATTGATTCTTTGAAGGTCTGTCATCGGCACGGGTTGGACATTGCGGGCCCGAACAACAGCATCAACGCCTGGGAGTTTCTCATCAATAAAAAATTCAACCTAGTGTGGTGTAGCGTCTTCAAGGCTGCGTCCTCTACGTGGTTCTACAACTTCAACATCCTGGCGGGATACTCTGAGAACTTTCTTCTCAGGTCTAAAGAGACGCCCATTACTCTAGCTCGTCAAAAATATGCCAGGTATGTGGCAATCTCGATCGATATTATATTTCATGAGTAACGTCAACATTATATCTTAGGCGCAATGTCGACATTATATCTTAGGAGCAATGTCGACATTATATCTTAGGCGCAATGTCGACATGATATCTTAGGAGCAAAGTCGACATGATATCTTAGGAGCAAAGTCGACATGATATCTTAGGAGCAATGTCGACATGATATCTTAGGAGCAATGTCGACATTATATTTTACGATAGTTTATGAATAAGACGATTGTTGATGAATAACCCTCTTCCACAGACCCACCACCATGGAGCTCGAGAACTTCATGAACCAGACACAGCGGCCGCTATCGTTTCTCATCGCCCGCCATCCTCTGCATCGTCTGGTCTCCGCCTACAGGCGAGTTGCTGGTCTTTAAACAATAATTTGTTTGTTTGTTGTTGTTTTTAATTCAATTAAATAATAAGCGTGTGCTCCCATACACGCTCTTGTTTTAGTTATACTCTGATATGAGCATTCTAATGCTTCGGAGATAATTATGCATCTGTGATAATTATGCTCTGAATTTGCTTTGAGATCGCTACTCTGATGATTATGCTTGAGTAATCCAGAGTAATTTTGCTCTGAACTACGTTTTGAATGTTTCTGCGATATCCATAATGAAAGCGATTCTACTGGACTCATACCATGTTTTTTTATTACTCTTTGCCTTTTTAGGTAATTAAGCTCAGAATATTTCAATATTACTGAATACAATTTTATGTTCTGTGATTCCTGTTAAAACCATGAGCTTTCGTAGCAAAGTCTGACATTTGTAGTCACATTTCATGTTCAAGAGAACATCTATCTCACTATGTTCTCTCTATCCATAGAGAGAACATCTGTCTCACACATCACATATCTTTCTATATAATTACAACAGTCGTAGGTTAACTCGCATTTGATTTCACTGCCACATGTCGTGCTACGTAGGGGTTCTATAGGTCCTTTCACAATGTTTTCCTTTCGGGAAAGAATATAAGTGGATACGTTCTTCCCTAATATTAAATATTTTTTCAGGGACAAGTTACTGTCAGGGAAGCGATACTACAGTCGCCTGGCACGTGACATCGTCTCAACATACCCGTCCCTCGGCGAGCACCCAACCACGGACTCCACACTAGGCAACTCTGCCGCCCCTCGCTGGTACGGATCGCCCTCGAGTTCCTTGGCGAGGGCAAGGTTGGCTCGTAAGCTCGTGGTGCCGACCTTCCCTCAGCTCGTACAGTATCTCATCGACAGCAACGCGCGAGGGGAGGTTCTAGATGAACACTGGACTCCCATCAGCCAATTCTGCACGCCGTGTCTCTTCGAGTTCGACGTCATCGCAAAGGTGAGATGAAAAGCGGGATGTGCGCTGTACGTCATTATGAAGATTATCGTCGGCACGAGTCCGACTTGTGAGACACGTATTGAGATATTTTAGACTACATACGAGACATGTATTTTTACAGACACGTATTGAAAATACGTATTTTTCCGATTAGCGTTTCAAGTGAAAAGCCTGTCGAATGTTATAATAAGTCAGCCTTCAGCGAAATTTTCTCGATGTTCGTAAGCACAAGAATGGACTCTATATTCGGTGTGTATAAGAGCATTAGGATTCGATAGCGGATAATAAGGGGCTCAAGTGACTACACATAAAAAAATAAAAAATTATTATTCATTTTGAATAACATTCACCATGACTCACCATTCAGTGAGTGGCATGAATGTTCCAATAAAAAGGGAATAAACACGTATAGGCGAGCAATCCAGCTCTTTTGTTGCTTACCTATTCCAAGTTTCATTATATGCATTCATTGCGTTTCGTTTCATAATTGAAGTTAACCAGGGCAACTCACATAGAATATACAAGATATTTCTCTTAGTTCTATAAATTATTTTTATTGATCGTTAATTTTACATGCGTTTGGGAAAACATCCCAGTTTTAATTTACAGAAATACGATATTCACGTCCCTTTGTTTTTCAGATGGAAACTCTTGATGAGGATTCCAACTACGTCATTTTCAAGAGCGGCATCGAAAAATACATAAAACCGAAGCGTATCAATCGAAATCGAAACGCTCCAACAGGTGAAGTAGCGGACTCATTTCTGTGTCAGCTTTCCACGGAGATGATGAAGAAGCTCATCGAAATCTACAGGGTAGACATGGAGCTTTTTGGCTATGAGTATGAGCATTACTTGAACTGTACGAAAGATCACATCAGGTTAGAGAGAATCTACAGATGATGAAGCGTTTTTCATCTAATTCAATTTCTCTTATATAGTCATTGCTATTCTTCAGCTGTAGACATATAATATTTACAGACAGAAAATTCTATTATATACGGCATTTTACACCGAACTATTCTTGAAGAAGAACTTTCGAATGTTTCCAGTTTTTGCGAACTAGACGTAATATTCGTCGCTGGAAAGTTTTTGCAGTTTCCATGGAAACAAGATTTAAATATTTTTTGATTCAACTTATATAAGTGATGAGTAGTTTAAGTGGAGAGGCTTTGTGATATTAAATTTATTTGCTGTTAAGGAGAAAGCTATGATATATGTATGCTCTTTGTGGTCTAGATGCACATCCGCTATGAGGTGGAAAACACTCAAGTTACAAATTTTACCCTAAATAAAATTAATTTTATTATCATTATACAAATTTTATCCTAAAATGCCAAACTGCGTTTGGCATTTTATGCGCTGACGAATAGTAAGAAGTTCAAAATTTTTACCTGGATGACACTAAAATTTCTGAAAATGTCAATCGCATCTGCCCAAATTCAATCGTGAGATTTATGAAATTGATAGCGAATTACCGAACCAGCAAAGAATTGAAGCTTGCGATAACACTGATTCTTTCAGATGCCTGCTCGTGATTGCTGTTAACTTTAAATGTTTGGTTTAATTATTAATTTTAACAATTATTTGATGATCCATATGTGGTAATGTAAGAATTTATGCTCATTTACTTCCTAATTTTTTTTTAAGTTACCGTTTAAACTGTTAGTGTGTGAACCCTCAGCTCTCCACTGCCGTTCCTTTTAGCGCAGTATCCGGTATCAGGAATCTTATGTCAATTATCAATCGAGAATTGACAAAGCTATGGCCGAAGTGAAAGAATTTGGTCTACAAGTCTCATTTGAAGTCAGCAAAAATTTTCTATGAAGTGACGTATCCGATAACTGCTACGAGTCGCAGATAATTACATCTCGCTTAGAGATATTTTTTCTTCGTCTGTCTTCTAAGCAGTGCAGAATTTTAGTCGGGGCGGAAAGAATTTAAATTTATGTTTTTTAATCCAGAGGCGAAGTATCCAATATTTGATATGTCTCTGTTTTAAAGAGAACTTGATAATTGCTATCGACCTCCTTGTTTTGTTTGGTTATTTTGAGCAACTCTTTTAAACTATGCTAGTCGCTGAGCAAGAGCTCTTTATCCAATTTATTGTTGCTATTATTGTAAGCATTTTATTACTTACTTGTTTGTTTCTATTATTTTCTTGTTTCTTTTATTTGTCAATGCTCTGTTCTCGGATATACTCATCAAATTAGTTTAGTCGTTGCGATGAATGAAAGTAGCTTCAAAGAAAAAGCTATATTGTTAGTGTTGCTCCTAGAGGTTACAATTGATGTCACTGGAAACGTATGAATTGAAAACGAGTACTTATAAAATTGTAGCTTTACCAGTTCTACATTATTGTTGCAAGGAATTCATATTAATTATTTGTAACAAAAAATATATATTTTGTGTGGCGTGGGACTTAGATGGTATCGATACCTGGAACGTAATTACCTCTGGTACGGAAATGAAATTATTAAGTAGGGAATTATTTAAATGTGGCATTCCTCACACTTTCAAGTAACGTGAGTGCTTTGATTCGCGTGCGGCGAGAAGTTCACAAGCACAAAGCTATAACGAAGTGTCTTTATAATCTGTGATTGATGATCTTATTAAAGTGTCTGTAAACGAGCCCTTTTCTTTCCTTTGACGAAAGTCGCGCATTGCAGTAACCGCACTCGCCGTTTGGTATATTTCGTGCATTTTGGTTCTAACGATCATGGTTCTGTCTTTTGGAACCGTTTAAATGAATGGCTCATCTAGCAGGATTTCAAAGTTGCGGTTTTGATCGCGAATTTGTTTTTGTGTCCCGAAAACATTAAAATAATTCCAGCTATACCAAAAGTTCCCAGTTCTAGGAACGATGAGGAACCGGTGCTTGAAACTATAATACGACTAGGTTACATCACTCGAATTCTAATCTTCTAATCAGTATTGTTGTCACTTGTTTGCTTGAATCACAAATATACTAGAAATTAAAAAGCACAGAAAATCCACAAAAGTTCATCTTATCTTTACAGAAAATGTTTCGGAACCTTTTTTTAATTTTAGAAGAAATGTTTCTGAACCTCACGATGGAGTCCAGCTCCATCGTGAGTTCGAAGATTAGAGAATGCAGATTAAATCACAAGTTAATGCAATTGAAAATCCAAATTTGGAACTAAAAGACACAGCACACGAAAATAAAAAGAAAAACCAATCTATTCACAAACTCAAGGAGTTACGAGCTAAATGCTGAATTCAAACTGAGCCTAAGTTTATAAATGCACAAGGATTCTGAAATACGAAATCTGAAGTACCAGAAGTGGAAGCTCACACCATAAAGTCACTGTCAGATACAAGAACATTACACTGCTCGGCGCGAGTGCGCACAGCTTGTCACCGGCCAGAGCTGCTACAAGCCAACTGAACATTATTAGGGCCTATTATCTACTGATGTCAGGGGCGGACGGAAGCATCGGTATAATAATGTTTGAAGTCCATTCAACTGTATAAATATCTTGACTTTCCTAAGATAATTCCAGTTGGAGAACTGTTATTTCGGTACGAGTTAATTATGATTTCATTTGGCCTGACACAGTTCCCAACATTTCTTGCATTCTGTATAGTATAGTAGTATAGTATCTTCGGCATTAAATAAATAGGCCTGGATAGGCCTATCGCTGATTCTTGTACTTTTCTTGACTAGACTGGCCTTACGGACGGAAGATATTTGTATGAAGACTGTATGGGCAGCCTTCCTCATTTCTTCATATCCCAATTGGAAGATTGAAGCTACCTGCTGTCTCTAGTACGGTTCAGAGAGAGAGCTCACCAGTCAGATTCCTTACGACTGCCAACGACGCCACATCTTCACATTTTGTCCGCTTCAACTGCATAATGGAGCGAGACGTTCAGTATGTGTCTCGTCTGAGGTGACAGCCTTGAGGTGTGAGACGATCTTGAGGCTTCGTCAACAGGAGGACGGGTCTCGGCCAGAGCTCATGAGAGGGCTGGATGCTGCAGGTTGGTTGCCCGTCACTTAATTAAGCTCAGGGTTTTGTGGCAATTTATAGATCCGGCCGGTTTCCATTTGGATAACCGTCTCCCCTTCACTACTCTCAACCAAATAATAAAACCTTCCATGTCTTCATACTGACTATATATTTATGACTTAAAACTTTACTATAGCCACTTATTATTAAGGTGAATATACAATTTTAAGATCACAGCTGCTAGGTCCCCAACTTTACGTTTTTGACAATATTTGGACCCTTTTATTCAGCGTGCTCTAATCTGCTAACCTTTAAATTGTTTGCGTTGCATTCAAATCAGTTGCATTTATTTTGGCAGGATGGGCGGCACGGAACTTAACGCCATATTTTATATTTTTTCAGATATGCCTAGCAAATTACGGACCAGGCAATAAGTCCAGCAGCTATCTCAATCAATCGTCAGTTATGGAAAGATCGGGTTCCAAAGGCCGGATCCCTTGTGAATCAAGTCACGAAAAATTCATGGATCGGCAACAGGCCATTGGCCTATTTCTTCAACGCCGACACTTCTATTCTATTCTATTCTGTCATTTTCTCTGTGCTACCTGGCTGGCTTGCGCTGGCCAGGTGAAACTCTTGCTCCCAATTTTCTGAGGACTTCTACGAGGACCAGGCAATAAGTCCAGCAGCTATCTCATTTAATCGTCAGTTATGGAAAGATCGGGTTCCAAAGGCCGGATCCCTTGTGAATCAAGTCAAGGATCGGCAACAGGCCATGGGCCTATTTCTTCAACGCCGACACTTCTATTCTATTCTATTCTGTCATTTTCTCTGTGCTACCTGGCTGGCTTGCGCTGGCCAGGTGAAGCTCTTGCTCCCGATTTTCTGAGGACTTCCACGGGCAGCAGCTTGGTCCAATCCACTTTTCGACAATTTTTTTGTGTTCCCATGAACACAGTTTAGAATTAATCAATTATTTATTTTTATTTAGCCATTTCCTATCCATATCTATTTTTTGTAGTAATTCATTTTTCCCTCCACTGAAAAGGGAGATCGCGGTCGCGCTTAAGTTTTGTACATTAATATCGGAATGAACAAAAGCTAAAGAAGCTGGTATATGTATACTGAGGCCGGTGACTGTCGGCTTTCGGATCTTCGTACGATGAGATGACGTCAAGCAATCTTTATTCTCGGGTCACAGAGCATAAGAGAAGGAGTTGTAGGACTGCTTGTCTATGATTGGTGGATTTTGCTTGAAAGGCCGTCAATGATTGGATGATGAACTTACGATCCCTTAACTTTTTTGGAAAGTATGGGCCCAGGGCAGTTGCTATCGCGCCCCTCTCATTCGGCTATAGGCGCACTCACGCCGAGCAGTGTGATGTTCCTGTATCGGACAATAATTTTAAGGTGTTAAATTCCGATTCCGGTACTTCAGATATGCGTATTTTTGAATTCTTGTACATTTTTAAACTTAGGTCCACTTTGAATTTAGCTTTTAGCTCATATCCCCTTGAGATTGTGAATAGAAAGATTTTCTGTTATTTTATTCTCTTTTGCTTTGTTTTTTATTTATAAATTTCGACTTTCAATTGTACTAACTTCTATGTGATATGATTTCATATGATTCTATAATCTTCAATTTGACGATGGAGCTGGACTCCGAAACGTTTTCTATAAAGATGTGAATGGAATTTATGGAATTTTTTTTGCTTTTAAATTCCTCAAATTCTCATATTTTTTTATTGGGCTCAAGGTAACGAAGTAAGACACGAGTTCTAAGTTTTATTAAGAGTTATGCAAACAAATGTGCATAAATTTAATAAATAAATATATGTCCACTACTGGTTTCGTATGTTAAGAGAATTATGCATGCAATACAGATACACTAATAAATAATAATAATACTAATTAACATTTGAACGACTATTTTATAGTGTCCCACCCTATATATCTCAAGTTCGGCTTGCGAAATTTTGAGTTTAAAATTATTCTATATTTAATTGTCAAGTAGAATATAGAAACTACAGACGAACAGCATAGACGTAATATAGAAACTCGTTGATTATTTCGCGTGTCAATGCGGCCGCTGCTTTTCAGTTGGTCCTTCGCTCCCGCTCTTTCTGGTATTCAGCCTCCACCGCAGCCTGCACCTTCGACCAGTTGTTTTCTACCTAAAAATGTGAAGTAAGTAGAATTCAGTGAGACAATATGTAAATTATACAAGTTCAATTACAATACAATAATAAAATAATGTTTGAAAGGAGAAGGTTCTGGAACTGGTTCAGCGAAACCGAAAAATTTCAGTTTCTGACCGAGCAAGCTGAGCATCAGGAAAGATTTTGAAAGTATAATTCGGCGCATAAAACTTTACTCGGTTTGAACTTGGGAGAGAGTTAGCTTGCATCAAATATCATTTCCTCGTCTCGTTAATGAAAAAAAAAATCGAGCAACAAACCTATCGAGACTGATCGTGCCCCTTAACTCACCATTACCCGCCGATGAGTTTTTCACGGCATGGTTATGACCTCATAAATAATAATGAAATGTATATTATTAACTCACTTTATCTTGGTTCTTGAGGAAGAGGCTCAGGGTCTCGTGGTTGCCGAACCTAGCGAGGTATCGCTTCCTGTAGGCGAGCACGGTGCCCACGTGTGTGTTGTGTCTCAGGGCCAACTCTAGGGCACGTTCCCAGTTGTGCAGCGTCACGTGAAGCATGATGGCCCGGAACTGGAGGCCCGCCTGCAGCAGCTGGTGCTCCGCCGCGGCCGTGTCTCCGCTCAGCTGGGCCATCTCTGCCACCTGGGCTTCCTTCACTGGAATGCTCTGATATGCAAGGGAGGTTAGAAAAAGGAGCTAAATTAAAGCTTGAAAAATAAATTAATTAAAGATAGAAAATGAGATAAGATCAAAATAGAAAAGGAAGTTAATTAAAGACAGAAATTAAATAAATTAATTAATAAATAATAGAGAATTATGAGCATAATAATAATAGAGCATTAGAGCAATAGAGCATAATAAATAATAGAGCATTATTATTAAATTAAAAATAGACAAAATTAATTGAAATTAGAAAAAGAAGTTTTTTATGCAGGAATGTGAAAAAATTCCACATATACCTTTTCTCTATCGTCTTCGGACTCGTCATGGATTCTAGACAATTTGGTTTCACGAATCAATTCATTAACGTCCGCACTTGCCTTTTGATTTTAGTGGGTCATAGTGATTCATGTTGGTTAATACACTGTTTATTATTCCAATTGCATGACGGTTTCTTGACTCTTTCGAATTCATATCAGATTAAAAATTTACTTCATTGGATAAAACACAAAATATTCATGCAAGCAAACATATGGAAACCACCCAAAACGAGACAGGAGGAAGACTCACTAAAGTTTACACATTTTAAACAATCGTTATAAATCTTTATTTTTTACAAAATAGTTTTAACTTTAACTTGAAGTCGAAAAGTAATATGAAAACACATTAATAGGAATTTGGTGTTATGTATATTTTGTCATTATGCTGTTGGAAAAAGTTAATTGAATGGAAACAATGTTAATAATTCTCATTAAACATTACAATATAACACCAAGGAAGCTACCTTGATTTTGTTGATGTAATGGACTTTGTCAGTCTCGTTGATGGCAGCGTAAGCGACCTCCGCAGTCTCCAGGTTCCTCCCGGCGGTGGCCATGCCAGCCAGCACCGCCCACACCAGGTCTTCCTGCTCCACAAATGCTCGTGTTATTTTTCTTGAAAATATTTCATCACTATAAATATTTTATTTAAAATATGGATTAATGGCTGGTGATGATAACATTTTAAAAAATTCATTGTTGCGAAATTTTGGCATTGACTAGTGTGGCAGAAGAGGGAGCGCAGCCGTGGGTAACAAAATTGACTCGTAAACAGGCCCAGGGCCCAACGCCAACCCATCAGCATGCAATATCTACACATAGCCTCAGATCAATTTGAGCTGTGGGTAACTCCGGCTATCAGTAAAAACGCTTTGCACCACACAGCCACTGCTTCACAGAGCCGGAGCACAACTGGCCGGAGCGCAACAGGCCCTACCGCAACAGGCGGCGCAGGTTAGGTTACGTTACGTTACGTTACGTTAGGAGTAGCTGGTGCGTTAGGGCCTGCTGCGCTCCGGCCAGTTGTGCTCCGGCCTGTATGCGCTAAACGGCTTGCCTACATGACGAAAAAATAAAAAAGTTATCTGGACAAAGTCTTACTTATTTCTCTGAGTGTCGCAAACGGCTTGCCTACATGACGATCAATGTAATACATTAATATTAGAGGACTCAATAATTCAACCACAGTCATTAGTACTTAAATTAATCAAATACCCTTTCTGATTAGGATTTCAGAGGACACCCCATGCAATTATATCAAGGTTATTCTGCTTAGCATTGAACGAATGCCATAGCTGACTGAGATTTCGTCGAGTTTTATGCTTTGTGTTCTGTGCATCAGAAATTGAGGTGGTGCTTTAGACAATTGCGATGTTTAGAGTCATGTAGTGACTGATTGTTATGAAGGATAAGTGAAGCATATGAATTTAAATGACAGACATAATTTCTGAAACTATTAACTGTTTAGTTTAGTCTCTACAGGCATGTACATTATACATGATTTTTTGAGTCAGTTTATCTGAAGTGAAGTAATATTTAAATGAAAGCACATAGAAATTATTTTAATGTAGGTTTGAAAATATATGCCACTTGTCCCAAAAGCCAAGCAAAGGGGAGATTATGTAAGTATTTGGGTATGCAAGAGATTAAATAGATTAGTAGGCGTGTTTGCGTGCTTGCGATCAACAAATCGTGCCGCTATTATTATTTGAATAAGAGTCAGCTGCTCAAAGATAGCAATCGTTTAAAACCTACTTCCCTTCACTCGAGATACTCGTGTGTCTGTATGACACTACGAGGTTGTAAACGCATACATAAAAATGTAACTCAGTCTGACTGTAGTGAGTGACAGAGAGCGCATTTTCTCGTCGACGAAAACGCGCAGAGCGTGGATGAGTTGCAGCGCATTTTTTTAGTTTATAGCCGTTTAGTTTGAGTCTGTTTGTTTGAGTGTGTACGTGTTCAGTTTGTATTGTTTCGAGTTTGTATTTGTTCGAGTCTGTGTTTGTTTGAGTGTGTATGTGTTCAATTTGTATTTATTTGAGTTTGAATTTGTTTGAGTTTGTATTTGTTTTGAGTCTCTGTTTATTTGAGTTTGTATTTCTTTAAGTTTGTATTTGTTTGAGTCTGTATCTGTTTGAGTGTGTGTATGTTTCAGTTTGTATTTCTTTAAGTTTATATTTGTTCGAGTTTGAGTGAGCTTTGTTCACCATCAGCGACTTATGAAACTATTTACTGTTTAGTTTAGTCTCTACATGCATGTACATTGTACTGGATGTTTGAGTCAGTTTATCTGAAGTGAAGTAATATATAAATAAAAGTACATAGGAATTATTCTCATGCAGGTTTAAAACCATATGCCACTTGTCCCAAAAGCCAAGCAAAGGGGAGATTATGTAAGTATATGAGTATGCAGGAGATTAAATAGATTAGTAAGCGTGTTTGCGTGCTTGCGATCAACAAATCGTGCCGCGATCATTATTTGAATATGAGTTAGCTGCGCGAAGGTAGCTATCGTCCAAAACCTACATCCCTTCACTCGGGATATTCATGTGTCTGTATGGCACTACGAGGCTGCAAACGCATACAAAAAGAAGGGCGTGTATTTCCAGTTCGAGGCCAGCACACAGAAAATGTCAAGAGATGTTGTGTGACTCACGACCAAAATTATGCGATGCGGTCACGGCAATGTTTTGAGAAATGTCCACGTTACTCTGGTACAGCATCAATCCAACAACTGGTACAGCATCAATCCAACAACTGGTACAGTATCAATCCAACAACTGGTACAGTATCAATCCAACAACTGGTACAGTATCAATCCAACAACTGGTACAGTATCAATCCAACAACTGGTACAGTATCAATTCAACAACTGGTACAGCATCAATCAGGAACAGTCCTGGTCATGAACAAACGGTTCATGACCGGAAATTTAATGTTCAAATTGAAGTTAGCTGAGTGGAGTGCAGATTAAAAGGTACAAATTAATGTTTTTATTTTCTCGAACTTGTATTTTCTCAAGCAGAGAAAGCTCGCGAAGTTAGTCATGTATTGATAAACAAAATTGCTGAGATTTAACTTCAGTGCCCGAATAGATTTAACAGCTATGAGTCAGACTGTGTGCAGATCGATGTGAGGGTAGTAAGTTATACTGTGAAGAGACCATACCAGTATATATAAGACATCAAGGTATGTAATTTTCTCAATGAGAGCTTGAAATCGATTAGTAGTGGAATTAGAAACTATAAATAAGATAAACCTTTTTAACGCCATTTTTCTTCACTCGAAATTTCTGTCATGTAAGAAATTTATTGGTGGAATTTTGTATAGGGATGCGAGAGGCGGTCTCGGTACGTTGCCTGCTTTGAGTTTGAATAGATACCCTCGGAGCGATGGATGGAGTATAGTGTTCAGATAGTGACACACCATTTATCCACAAAAGCGTAAAATGTAGCTGATACGGCCTTTTACGAGCCAAACTGGGTCAGGATGACCCAGCCTAGGCCAAGAAGTGCATCGTTATATGGACAAGGCTCCCTCGCTTCTCAGAGTGCCTCATGGCAAAGTCGCTTGTCAAGTGTTGAATATATGTATATGGTTGCACTCTATCATGAGACAAACAAATTGATGTATAAAAAAGCTTTTACCTGTTCTTCCCAAGCTGATTAGGTGTCCTAAAAAGCAAAAGGTTCAGTAAAGCAAAAGTAAGGATTTTGCAAACACATGTACGTACGTAAAGAAAAGACAGCAGCTAAATGCTACAAAAGCCTATAGGTATAACTTCCGAAAACTAACGGTGCGAAAATAATGAATTTACAAAAAAGCTTATATTACAGGTTTTAGTAAGATTACAGGTTAGTATCTTACAGGTTTTAGTAAGAATACTAAAGATACTGAATACTAATTTCGGTCCTGATATAACAATTACACAAATTTTACCGAAAACGTTCGTTTCCGAGCGTGAAAAAGAAGAAAATTTTCGGTACTTGCACGAAAACCTCAAGAATAAAACATTTCTACATTGTATGCATACTTCATGCCAGAAAAACAATAACATAAATTCAAAATACTTGATGTTAAAACTCTCTATTTGCATTACGAAACATTACTAGCCGGCATAAGTAATACGACTACATTATTCTATTGCTTAAATTTTGCGGCGTTATAAGACTTACGCAGCGTCACGTTGCGTTTGGCAAGTTTAAAATTATTATTTACACAAAGGAACATTATTATTCATACCTAATTAGTGATGGGATCAATGAATAACATAATTGGATTAACTAGCGAGATTAGTGCACGGATTTTGTGACGTACGTAGCGTCGCGATGCGACTGCGTGTAGTGCAGTAGGGTTCTGTCCACGAAGATCACGCCAGGATAGAACCATACGACCAGGTTGCTGTCCTGCAGTGTAGCCAGAATGTTGGCGCCATCATTCCACTTTAAGGACTGCACCATTCCACCTTCACATATACAGTTTTATTGTTATTCGTATATTTATTATATTCAGTTTATAACAGAATGGTTGGTAATTCCTTGGTATGTGGAAAAAGTTCAACCATGGGTAATTCGAGAAGCTATTGTTGATCTGATGAATGTTAGAGAAGAGCTAATATCTTTCCTTTTCTGAAGTGTGAAATTCGTCGTTCGATCAATTGCTTAGTTTATGTCAGTTATCTTAATAGTAGTCAGTAGTTATCTTAATGTCAAATATAAATTTATCTATCATCTCGACATGGATACGTCTAGACTGGATCTTCATCTAATTTGTTATTTGAAATTTAAAATCAAATGAAGACGATTATTTTCTCGGCCATATACGAAGGGTTTTTTTGTTTGGTTAGACTGAGATACGAAAAAAAGTTATAAACAAAACTCATTTAGAATTAATGAAAGGATATAGTAGAGGTTTTTAACGCATTTTCTCATTTATGGAAAAAATACACTATTGTGCTCGCCATGTCCGTCTGTCTGTGTGTCTGTCCGTCTGTCTGTCTGTCTATCTTTCTGTCCGTCCGTCTGTCCGTTCGTCCGTGACCTCAAGTTTTCGTCGACGAGAAAATGCGCTCTCTGTCACTCACTGCAGTGAATACTGAGTTATATTTTTTTTTATCTCAGTTCACTTTTGTCGACAGTTTTTTTCTTTCCTGATGAATACGGACAAACTATTCCTTTGAGTTGGAAACCAAACTTGAGAAAGTTCCTGGTATAGGGAGACTTATTTAACGGCTAATATTAAATCGGAATAAAAAGTTCTAGTAAACTCGGTGTTAATTTAGCTTGAGATGCGCGCGTGGCTAACCTAACCTAACCAAGGATTACTGAAATTTAGCTTCAGTGCCCGAACAGATTTAATAGCTATATGAGTCGTACTGTGAACAGATCGATGTTAGGGTAGTAAGTTATACTGTGAAGAGACCAGTATAAATAAGATATCAAGTTATGTACCTTTCTCAATGAGAGCTTGAAATCGATTAGTAGTGGCATCAGAAACTAAAAATAAGATAACCCTTCACTTTAGATATCACCTTTAGACGTCAGATGCTCTCTGCTAAAAAGTGCAATACCGGCAGACATGGCTACTTCTACGAGTGAACTAATACAATTATGTCTAACTCAAAAAATGATTAGGAGAAACTATGCATTCAATGATCATCTTAATTGCGACACTCAATAATAAACTTGCTTCCTGGATTTCGGCGAATTGCTTAAAAATTAGTAAAAATATATACTGTATACTGAATCAGTAAGGTGAAAATCAGTCTCTACAAATTTTTTACCTTTTTGCATTGTATCCTAAAAGGTCAAATGAGCAACTGTGCGCAATATATTTCCCATGTTTGAAAGACTTATTATAATAAAAGATCATGCTGCATAAATGATTGAAATCATAAATTAAATTAAATTATGACAATGCCATTAATTAAACAATCTAGCCGAAAAGACATATTTACAAGGTTCGTTCATAGGAACACTAGACTTTTCGAGTGCTGAATACTGGCACAAAGTTTCTTCGTAAATAAGTGATTTGTAGTTCCAAATGTAAATAAAATTACTACGAATGAAATTAATAGCAACCATTAACAAATAAGCATCTATGTAGAATTAAAGCAGCACTTCAATTAAAATTTAATCAAAGACGTCAAATTAGTGTAACGAAATATATTCGTAAAAATACAACAATGAATGCATTTAACTACTAGGAAACATGACTTACAAACCTAGCAAACGACTAAAGTAGGCACAGAAGCATTCACTACTTAATTGGATGCACAAAGAAATTAACTCGTACCTCCTGTATTGAAGACGAACGAGAGCATTGATAATAATTAGAGAATATTAATTAATACGCTAAAAAGTTGCTAACAAATTTTAGGATTTTGCCCATAATTCTCTCAAGGAAACTCATCGTTCCTATAGGACCATAATTTATGATTCTTGCAAGCAAAATGAACGCCAGTTCAATTGCAATATCATATTGAAAGCATTTTCAGTAAATGAACAAATATTGCTTTGCATTTGCGATCCTAGCAGTAGAGTGACTCAAATTGTTGCATAAAAACAAACGCTCTAGTCGATTGAGGTCCAAACTGAAAATGCGTGAAAAACTTCCACTTTTTAATAATTATTAAAGAGGCTAAAATTTACTCAATGAATTACATGAAAATTTGCCAGTGAGTATTTTCTTATTGAACAAGCTGCTGACTTGAAAAAAATACATTACTTATTTCTCATATGGCCCTCCCTCATTCTGGTATAAGCGCATATGAGATCATTTTTTAATTTTAGATAAAATACAAGTATTTAAATTTAGATCCAAAAATATAGAATTGGTTAAAGATAGTAAATAAAATATTTAAATTTAGATAAAAAATATATAGTTTTTAATACAAATACTAAATAAAATATTGAATTGCGATCTCACCCAGTTTGTAGCCCCTGCCCATGCCCCCGACCCTCTTGAGCTGCACCAGGAACAAGTCTCTGTTGTTGTCCACGATGCCCATGCAGCGCTGCTGCGTGGGACCAACCTAACGTTTTGTCACAGTTAATAATTAATAAAGAGCAGCCGTAATTAGCTAAAAACAATAATCTACTCCTCTTGCTGTGTATTTATGCGAGAGATAAATCTTATACAAAAGTGCAAATAGTACGGTACTTTATTTTTTTTTCTCATCCATTTGTCCACTAATGTTAATGATTATTCAGGCACTGGAGAAGCGACGGAAAAAAAACGAAGTAAAAATACTGGTTCTCTCATTAGTCTGATTATTGATAGATTATTTTAAATTTCTGCCTCCTGAATTGCAAAGAATTTCCCGAAATTAAAGCCGCACACAAAGTACTGAAATTTAGATAGGTAAAAAAGTAACGTAACAAACCTGGTCGAGAGTGACCTCAGCAATCTCGACCTTGTGCTCCCAAGGCTTGCCATCATTCAAGAGTTTTCCCGTCGTGGCATCGAACAAGTGGATGCCTGGAATTTATAAAAAAATCAAAACATGAGGAAATTCAGAATTCATTTGATTAGAAAAAATTTACTAAACAGAATAAGCATCCTAAAAATAAACGTAAGTATAATGTTTAAATGCTATCGTCCTTAATTGTTTGTGCTGTTCGTGGGTCGAAAAGCCACACCGCATTAAGTGTTTGAGATTTGATCAAGTAACTTTGTGCCACTTGTACGATAAGCCAACAAGAGTGTCGAGATTCACGTTGTGGACGTCAATTCAGAGCAGTTTCTCTAAATAAATATAATTCGACAACATTTTTGAAAATAGTCTCAGACAAATAGTTTTTGGTTTAATCCGACAAAACTGTATGAGAATTAATTTATTTTTTTTAAGAATAAATAAAATCTGCTCAGTCGTATAGTGTAAAACGAGATATATGGCCAAAATAAAATTCAAAATTATATTGTAAAGAGTATTAACTGATAATACCTTTTTCGTTATCCTTATCCCTGATAGCGAGCGTGTCGTTGCTGAGGGCCACGGTCCTGGCGCTGAGGACGTCGGTGCGCATGCGCGGCCAGCGAGGGCTGCTCACCACGCGTCCCTCGTACGTGTACAGCACAACGCTGCTGCCGTCAACCACCAGGAAGTGTCTGCCGTGCACCCAACACCACACAGTTTACTATTGTCGACGTATTAGCTTTATCTTTATAGTTTTATAATTTATGATTTATAAGTTGCCTATTAAATTTGACAATTTGTGGATAAGAACTGAAGAAATTAAAATTAAAAAAGGAAGCAAAATTCTGTCTCTCTGAATTTTTTTCCTAAACAAGGTGAAAATTTTCATATAAGAACTTAAATTTCTGAAAACTTCAAAAAAATTATCATCTGCTGAATTGTGAAGCAAATTTCTAATCATAACTTACAAAAACTATATCGAAGCACCAATTAAGGAAAAAATTGCCATTTAAAAACAAAATGTCGAGTACCTTAAAAGAATCTTGAAGAAATAAAGGTAGAGAGACAAGGGAAAGGAATATTGAAGAATAATCTTTAATAACTTATAATTTTGCTTGTCGACGACTTTTAACTGCTGTATTCAGTGACGAAAGAGTCAGAAGCATTTAATAGGCGCAAGGTGCGACATATTAGGCGCACGTATCGACGTGCTAGCTTTACTGCTACTAAAACACCTCCTGAGTATTAATTTGAATTTGAAATTTTTTTCAAGTTTGAAAGAAATTAAGGCCGGCAATACAGTTAACCTCTCAGCCTGCACGATGAGGCTCACGCTGCCTTCCTTGAGGTCGAAAATGATGGGCGTGTTCCAGTTGCGGGTAGAGTACACGTAGACCTGAGATGCCGTCACTACTATGAGGTGACCATACGCCAGTGACACCTGGTACACCAGCAATGATTAGTGTGGTAAAATACGCATAGTGATTTGGACAAAGGCTCACTCATTTCTCTGACTGTCACGGCAAAATCGAAGCAACTGACGAAGCAAAATGTAATTCGAAGTATGTTAATGGTATTTAAGTATTGTATCACTAAATTTTTAGCCAGGAAAAAGATCTAATTTTACGCAACGATCTAATTTCCAGGCAGGAAACGATCTAATTTGTACAAGGCTTTTGATTGCTTCATGTGGGTTGGTCTACCTTAATGATTCTGTCCCGTAACTCAAGTTGTTCTTTGGCATCATTGTTGACATTACGCAAGGCGATGGCGGTGCGACTGATGACAGTCGCTTCGTAGTTGTGCCATTCCAAGTTACTGGAATAAGTTTAAAATTAACTAGGCTGATAGTACGATCAGTTTCTAATTCTATTGGAGAAAATCTTACTTTGAAAGCACACAAAAATTTTTTTCATAATTTTCTTTCACTTCAAAAAAAGCACATTTTAACTTTGAAAACAAAAAATTAATTTATTTGTCATAAAAATTCTACTTAGAAAAGCAAGTAATTTGTCGACGCTAATTTAGCATCTCACTTCTCAATGACGTGAGCGAAGAGCACATGACCGTTCCCCCCGGCGCCGGCCACCTGAGTGCCATCACTCGACCAGGCCAGGTTGAAGAGGCTGCCGCAACCTGGCTTATCCAGAGAGTGCGACCACTGCCAGGGAATGTATCATCAAAATGTATCAATGAAGAGAGAATGCATGAATGTATCGCAAAATGTATCATCTGACTAAGAGTTGAACAAAGTGGTATATTATACTTAAAACCTGTGTTAACTTGCAGTGACCATCGATTGCTTGCAAAACTAGCAGCTACTTATGTAAAACTGTCATCGTTTTTTTAGTCTTATGTTACTGTCGCTCAAATTAATGACAAGAATTAATATTCATACTAAAAATTATTATTGGGAGACCCATTTCGTATTTTCTAATGAGTCAATATCGGAGATAATTAATTTTATAATGTCGTGTAGTCGGTTAGCGTTAGGCCCCGTTGGCCAATCGCTGATTAGTAACCATGCGACCATTTTGCCTATTACGACCATGATTTTCACAGCTGGTTGCATGTTTCGAACACTCAGTTCACTACTCAAATTGTGGTGACCTTAACCAATAGGCGGCCTCCCAGAGATGGACATAAGCGATGACGAATTCATCATAATCTATTAAAAATACCTCAACTCTTTAGCATCCAGCTGTACATATATGTCGCCTTCCTATGTAGAGTTTTTTGATTATGTAAGAAGCTCATTTGTATTCAACGAGAATATAAAGAAGCTTTATATTCTTTATATTCTAATTGGATTCCTTTTTATATGTCACCTTTATATTCAGGCTGTGCTATGACCAGGTGGACATTTATGAGCCGATGTCATATTTTTCCCCATAAATTCATTTCATCAATATGGCATGGATGCAATGTGATATTTTGCACTCGTAAAAATATTGGTAACTCAAGGAATAAAAAATGTCCGCCCACCCCCGCCTTGTCGCAGAGCCTGAGTGTGTTGTATGACCCCACGGCGAAGAGTTGCCCGTCCGGTGCCCAGGCGAGCGCAGTGATGGGGTGGTGGTGGGGCGGTGAGGTGTATAGCTGCCGGCCGTAGCGATCCCAGACTCGGTAGCGCGTGTCCTCTCCGCCCGATATGATGAGTCCCGTGTTTGGGTTCCAAGCCACCTTCAGGACCAGGGCTTCGTGGGCTTTCCACTGAGGGATGATGGGAAACAAAAGAATAAGATCATCGGTTGATTTAAATAATTCAAATACTGACAGACTTAATTACTCGTAACCGAAAAATTACCGAATTTTGTTAGGAAGGTAGCTAGTTTAGTTCGCTTGTTGAGCGTCAATTGAACTTCAACAACAGAGCAGCAACATCTTCTGAAAACAGATAGTTGGAAGAATGAACTCGAGTTGTACTAAACTCGATAATTATTGGCCATGTACTTCACAGTTGTCATGCAGAGCTCTACAAAAAGACAAAATTCATTAAACAATTCATCATCAATACAATACCTGTATGGGCTTTGTGTTGGGTGCCAGAGGTTTGATGACCAGCGCGGTGCCAGACGTGTAGAGCACCGCGTCCGAGTCTGGCGACCAGGCGGCGCTGTAGACGGGGCCTGAGCTCATGGCCAGCGAGGACCTCAGCATGCCGCTACGTGACCAGATCTTCACCAGGCCGTCCTCCCCACCTTAGTTCACGCAAAATAAGGCTTATTATTCAGTAGAATAATGATAGTTGTTGTGCTTTGTTGGGCAGGATAATGATGGTAATTAATTCTGCGTGTGGCAGGCAGAATAATGCTGATTATTTTGCTTATTGCAGGCAGGATGATGCTAGTTATTCTGATCAAACTTGAAACGTCTTTCGGAGAAAGGCTGGAGATTTAGGCAGTGATGGAATGAGTCTAAATATGCTGTGATAAAAGATGATGACAAAGGCAAAGAAGAGAAAAAATAATATAACTCAGTACTCACTGCAGCGAGTGACAGAGCGCATTATCTCGTTGACGAAAACTTGAAGTCACGGACGGACAGACGGACAGACGGACGGACGGACATGGCGAGCACAATAGCGCCTTTTTTCCATAAATAAGAAAATGCGCTAAAAAGGCCTAAGTTAAATAGATAAATTTTTACCGCGTAATGTTTTGAGCGAAAATTCAGTTGAGTAAACAGTGATGGAATGAGTCTAAATATGCTGTGATAAAAGATGATGACAAAGGCAAAGAAGAGAAAAAATAATATAACTCAGTACTCAGTGCAGTGAGTGACAGAGCGCATTATCTCGTTGACGAAAACTTGAAGTCACGGACGGACAGACGAACAGACGGACGGACGGACATGGCGAGCCCAACTTTTTCCATAAATAAGAAAATGCGCTAAGAAGGCCTAAGTTAAATAGATAAATTTTTACAGCGTAATGTTTTGAGCGAAAATTCAGTTGAGTAATGCGTATTGACAGTTGTACGTGAGGAGTATTTTATTTATTTTTTTTTTTTAAATATAAATTTGCATCATCTGTCATCAAATTAAAAACTCAAGATTTCATGTAAAAATCTAGCAGAAATGTAATGATTGCGCGAAAATAAAAAAAATTAAGATAGTTATGATTTTACAAATCTTTGGTCATTTTAGGATTAAAGGTGAGAACCAAATTATTTTACCAAATTAATAATTTTACCAAAAATTTTTACCTATTTTAGGACCAAATATTTTTACCGGTGAGAATGCTGGAGCCGTCGTGACTCCAGCGGCCTGCGAGCGCCGCCCCCTGGTGCGCGTCAACACTCTTCTCGATACGGCCTTTGCGGCTCACGAGGTGAAATTTGCCTAAGAAATTAATGCAAATATATTAATTATTAATTAAATATCTTATTTAATGTATAAGGTTTAATTTGCACTCCAAGCGGCATGACATTGCACAGGAATTAGGGATTTTTACTCCACCAAATTGCCAGGCGACTTGCGTTGCATGAGGCATCAGCACACGTGGCTTAAAATTGCAACGTAATCAGACCTCTACTTTTTATACAACACGGTTGTGGAAATAACATCTGGAGCTTCAATTTCTCGTACGCCGTTCTATTGCACTAGATAATTTTCGAATTTTTCTACAGGGTTCACCTTGGAAAATGTTGGGCAGCTGTATGTTTTGAAACTTGTAATAAGTATATAGCGGGTGGCGGCAGAAAGGCGTATAATTCACATTTTTTTTGAACATTATTACGATACTTGATGTTATGACAGAGTTAAACTAAATTAAACACACAGAGTATATCTTAAGTCATATAAATCACATTATAAAATTTTCAATGTTAATGAATTGTTCTGTCGTACTCTTTTAAATTACCCAAGCCTAATTTTCAATTTAATCCTGATTACATTTTCTATCCAAGAGTAGAGAAATAAAATATTTAATTACGAACCATCAGCAGCTGTGAGGAGGAAGATGATGTCTGCTCCCGCCTTGCCTCCTTGTATTGCACTGCGAGGCATCCAGTGCATTTCTAGCGGGAAAACCTCAGCGGGGAGATCAGCGACTTTGCTAGTCTCAGCATTGAGGAGGCTCCAACGTAGCAGCTGATGGTCGTCTCTGTGGTGCATAAAAATTACAAGGTAATAAATTAAAAATGAATATGAGCGAAAAAAATGCAGTAATTGATATACGAGTACTATAAAATTAAAATGCGAACTTTTAAAACAGCGAAACACGCGCGATTTAAACATGATGAAGAAAATTCCAGATAAAATAAAGTGGTTGAAGATAGTGCGACAAATATGAAAAGCTTTCCGTTGATTGTGGACGGTAAAAATATTTAAACAGTTCAGTATGTGGGCAAAAACTCGCGACATAAAGTGTGACGACCTACAAGTCTTACATGCACCACGTAAAAAATCTTAACATTTATGGTAACTAAATTTCCAAACAAGAGAATGACTACATAATTTTGAAGCTTTTTACTGGCTTCTTACTGTGGTTTTTACTGTACGTGAAATCTTGAAAATAATTATGCGTTTAGGGATGAGGACATTGATTGAAATTTTTGAGTGCAAATTGGATAATCACAATCTCCGCAACTTTGTAGTGACAAAGAAAAATTATTTGGATCCTTTAAAAGTTAATAACTCAATACGCTTTCAATCATCATTGCCATTTAGCTTCATAATGTTTAAATGCATGCACAATTCCAATTTTTTTTACGACTTTTTCGACACCGTCCTGTATATCGCGAATAAAGACATAAATATAATTTACCGATTTATTTCAGTCTTTAAAGAGAGATAAACTAAGCCTTAAATGATTTTTTCATTTCTATTTCGATAAAAATTATCTAATAAATGGCTGAAGTATGATAACTTATGCACACTTGCTAATAATAATTATTATTCATGTCAGGTCAGCGCTCTCACCCGCACGAGTAGAGCTCGTCTGGGGTCATCCAGCCCACACACGACACCAGGTCAGAGTGTCGGGGCTTGTCTTGTAGCGAAATTTTGAAGCGCATCTTGGGTTCCTATATAATAATAAACCTGTTATTACATTTGTAATATGGTTAATGCATCAGCAGCGTGGTTATTAGTGACATGATCATTGGATTAGTGACATGATTCACGCATCAGCAACATGGTTATTGCATCATTGATAGGGGTGGAATGCATCAGTGACATATAGTTAATGCATCCGCAACATAGTTAATGCATCAGTAACATAGTACATGCATCAGCAACATAGTAAATGACTGAGCAACATATTGAATGCCTCAGCAACATAGGAAATGCATCAGNTGGAGTTCTGGAGTGTGAGTGAAATTGATCCTGAGGATTCTCCTAGGAAGGACGATGTCGGGCTACTTGGCGGGGCCTGAGATAACTATTCGGACACGGTTTCGGAAGTTCCAGCGAACACATGTCAGGAGCCGCTGCTAACGAATAAGGATCGCGACTCATGTGTCGTGTCTGGAGCAGTGCCTCTCCCGTCGGTACCTTGCGGGGTTACAGCTCCCCCCCACGAAATCCGGAGGGTGCCTTCTCATGGGATGCCCTCGGTGTTGGGAGTTCGAACGAGGTCACGGGGTTACGTGCTTGATATCGAACGCGTTCAGCCTGTAGTGCTAGAATATAAGCAGCGTAGATTGCGCAGGAGTTCTAGGTGACCTCTTCCCGTGCGATCCGTCTTGGCGGGGGGGAATGTAGAGGTTTGACACGCATGTGTTCTCTAAACGAATCTGCCGCGAGGTCACGAGCGGGCTGAGTGCTTTTAGGCTGGCCATTTGGTTCGTTGGCTTCCGTGGATGAGGTGGGAGGGACCTTTTCTGGTGTGGCGTCGGCTTCTGAGATCCGACCGTGTTCTTCTCAGGCGTTTGTTCAAGGGTGTATACCGTGGACGTGCACCGTTGGAAGAAGCCGACTGCCTCCAGTGTTTACCTGACGTGGAAGCCGACTGGACCAGTCTGCCCCTTGGTTTCCCGTGTGCTCTGCATAGCCGAGCCGTGTTGGGCGCCTATCGTCGTACCCTATTGGAGCGCCTAATGACGAGTTAACTAGAGTCTTGAAGTTCCTCGTGGAGGCGTGACCTCCCTAGGCTTGCCTGGGTCGAGCCATCGTGTTCTAGGCCCGGTGTCTGTGCCGCTTGGGGCGGCCCGTTAATGTATTAGGGCTTCCCCTGAACGAGATACGCGGCTCTCGGGACGTCGGCGCGTCTCGTGTTCAGTTTTGTGTAAAGGTCAATAGGTTTTAGAATTGTCGCGGGTCGACTATTTGAATAAATGTTTTTTAGTTGAGTAGCCGATGAAGTAGGTAGTTAGTATTTATATTTGTCTAAGTTTCTTGTCTAGATTGAATAAAACTTCGGGTCGAATTTTATTCTTGTGCCTTAGTAGGTCTTATTGTATGCGTCATCTCTCGTTACCAGTAGCATCTCCTGCCCGGGGACATTGAGCGTTTAGGCTGCTCTGTTATATTTATTAATAGTTACCCGCTCTCCCGTAACAACAGGTGTAATACTTCAGTGACATAGTTAATGCATCAGTAACATAGTACATGCATCAGCAACGTAGTAAATGACTGAGCAACATATTGAATGCCTCAGCAACATAGGAAATGCATCAGTAATAAAGTAAATGCATCAGTAACCATTCCATAATAGTCCAAATGAGCCATAGTCATGGACAGTTTAGACCCAGTGACCAGCACTGACAATTTGAAAACTGTCCGCAGAATAATCTCCACCATTTGTCTATGTCACCCTCATGTTAAGTTTCTGGCAGCTTTTTTCAAAATCAATAGACCATTTAATTGTGTGTGGCATCTGTGAAGTATAATGTCACTTCCGGCCGTCAAACTGAACGAGCCGGTGACTTTAAGAAAAAAATGTTAATTTAAGTTAGCAAGCAATTAGTAAAAGGTTGGCATACTCGCCTTCAAAATCTTTAATGATTGACCATTCAAAAAATATCTTTAATAATTGACCATAACCCACGATGCCATAAAAAATAATTTAAGCAACAATCAAGGTATCGTGGATATGCGGTGTATGCGTTTTTAAAATGAAAGTCAGAAAAGAATCCAAAGTAATCAAGTATCGTATATTGATCTTAGTATTTTTTCGTCCAATAAAAAGTTCTTGCAATTTTATGAATTTGCATTTTGCTCGTATTTGTTCGGAGCAGCTTTCTATGTCACGTTATTCTATTTATGAATAGAATATTTATTCTATTTATGTTGGAATAAAGTTTAGAACAAGCACATGCACAGCCGAACGATGCACATGCACACTCGCTACTGTCAGCATGTCAACAATGTGATCAACATGGAACGAGGCTATTGTGTGAACTTCATATTAACATCATTCATGATATAACCCGTGTTAAAAATCAAAACGAAATATATATATTCCAAATAAAGTAAATTTATGTAAGCATCTTATTTAAGTGGCACAATTTAATCAGAGAGAAGGATATATTCATACAAGCACATCGCGAGGAGCTTCGGTTGCCATGGAGACGGCCCTAACAAACGGCCTCGGGTTCAGTAAGTCAAATGTCTGTGATCGAAGTGCACCTTGGCCAGAATCAGACTATTAGAATGCAGAAAATAATGCGTTAGCATTTATAATATTGTTAAATTTAAAAAAATATTCGTGTTGACCCTGAAATAAAAATTTAAGGAACTGAGCTTGAACGGAATTCGCGAGTCCTACTGGCTGACACTTTCCTGTTGACGGAGTAATTACGCAGACTGAGTCGATATGGTAGGTAAATTTGTTAATTGGAAAATGATCATTATTTTCTGTAAAGATGATTCTGTTTAATGTAAGATGAGGATGTATTAGGTATTATTTGCATCACTAGGACATAAAATAAGATAACGGTTTAACATTTGCTAGACTGGAAGTTAATTAAATTGAGTATTTATTAGGTATTTGCATCACTATACAGAAGATAGAATAAGATAACGGTTCAACATTTGCTAAACATGAAGATAATTTAAGATGAGGATTTATTAGGTATTTTCATCACTGGAAGATAAAATAAGATAACGGTTCAACATTTGCTAGACAGGAGACAATTTAAGATGTGGATTTATTATATGTTTGCTTTATAGAAAGAGGATATAAGATGATAACGGTTCAGTATTTACTAGATATGAAGTTAATAAAAGACGGGAAGAAGAATTATTCTCTTCTGCCAAGAAAGGGCTCTCGGAGAAACTTCTTAGGTGAGACTTAATATTTTGTAGTAACGATTTGACAGGAAGATCGTCGCTGACGGGCAATATTCGCCAGGAAATTCATACGAAATTGGCTGTTAACAAACTTATTGATATAAAATCCTTCGACTGCACGATATTGCAACATTTTCCGTATTTTATTGAAAGAGTTCTTTTTATCACTGAGCGGTGTTCCACAATATATAATTTAATCAAATGGTTTTATACCTTCAACCCGTTTTATACCGGACAACATAGGAACAACTGTACATACACTAGGCAGGTACGATTGTAACGTCGGAAATTATGCAGTTTGACGAAAGATAATATAATAAATATTGTTAATATATTAGTTATAAATAAATTATTATTAAAGTTAATACAATAAATGTTGTTATTATATTAGTTATAAATAAATTATTATTGCAAATACAGAAATACTAATATATATTTGGTGATCATTTCGCAGATTTTATCTCGCGCGAAGCCGGCCCTGAGCGGCACTGTCGCGGCCACGCAGTCATCGGCGTCGTCCAAGAAAGCTTTGCCCAAACTCCAGGACTTCCTTGCCAAGCGGGACTACGTCGGCGCCATTACGCTGCTTGAGGTGCGAAATATTCGTTTAATTATAAATTTATTAAAGTTTAAGTAATTATTATCAATGAAAATAATTTCCGTTATAAAAATACTTCTGAAAACTTCCAGATTCACAAATAATTATGTTAGATTGTCAACAAAAATTAAACAATGCGGGACTAATTTGGTTCGATTCGGCTTCTTTCGAGAGAGCTCAAAAACCTCCGATTTTAATTTGTAATTCCGATAAAAAATAAAGCTTTTGATATGCAGTATTTTTGATAATATTTTCTACGACGATTCTGTGGTAATATTCATTTCTGCTTTCCGATTGCTAGCAATCAGTGCACAATGTGCGTTCTGAAATGTAATATCAGGTAATAGGGAAGTATTTATAATTGACATGGCAGTGCGTTCTGAAATGTAATATCAGGTAATAGGGAAATATTTTTAATTGACATGGCAGTTCGAGCGTCACAGCGGCACCAGCCGGGAGCTGGGGGACCAATGGATCGGCTATTGCGCTTTCCACCTCGGCGACTACAAGCGGGCGCTCAAGGAGTTCCAGAACCTGACTGCTGACGCGGCTAAGGCCAACCCCGAAGACTGGATGAATCTGGCGTGCTGCTATTTCTACCTCGGCATGTACCCCGAGGCGGAGGAGGTATGGCATTACTAATGAAATAACAAAAATTGTAAAGTAAATCGGGCTAAATTTTTAACCTCTATGATATCTGAGTCATAACAGCACTTATAATGTCGCCTGCCGTCAAGAGAAACTATCAATTTTCTAAAGAAAAATTCTCAAGCGAGATCGAAACAAATTCGTCGTTATTATTTGGTAATCGAGCCCTACAAATCGTATTTATGACTTGTATTGTACAGTTGTTATTGAGGAGCGGCGAGATTAGTGCATTATCTAAGTGCGCTACTATACTAAGTGGCGACTCATGTGTTATTGACGGTATATTATTTCAGTTTAATTAAAAAAAATCATTGATGGTGACAGGCGGCAGAAAAGGCTCCGAAGTCAGCATTACGCACGCGGCTGTTCTTCCACTTGGCGCACAAGTTTAACGATGAGAACAGACTGATGATGCACCATCAGCAGCTAGAAGATGTTATCGAGGACCAGCTCAGTCTTGCGTCCATACATTATTTGCGCTCGCATTATCAAGAGGCCATTGACATCTACAAACGCATCCTACTCGACAACAGGTTAGTTGCTTTGCTCCATAAAAAATAACAACTAGGTGGGACAAACAATAAATGCTGTGTATCGGAACCAACAATTGAAAGAAGTATACCATTCAACCAGAACTATTCGCATTAAATTTTGTTGAAATTTATGGATAATAATTGATTGCAAGTACCCCCTTTGGTCCCTAATTAGAAAAATGAAGCCATTTATTAATATTAAAAGGCCTGATAGATATGAACTACCTAAACATCAACTACTTGTCTAATCAATGATTAGAATTCAGGCGACCTCAGCATGACGAGATTTCGAAAGAGCTCCATGATTATTTTCATTACACTGCATCTAGCTTTTTAGCTTATTGGATAACAAAGACTTTTGTTTTAAGTAATAAAAAGTAATTTAAAGCTTAGATTTCAAACTGTATCCACAATACCCTTGAGAGGTAATAAAAATTGTACAAATTAACGACGCTAATAAGGAAAAGAGTGCATGCATCATCTTGTACGTTGTTCCCAGAGAGTACCTGGCACTGAACGTGTACGTAGCGCTGTGCTACTACAAGCTCGACTACTACGACGTCTCCCAGGAGGTACTTGCTGTGTACCTGCAACACCACCCAGATTCTCCGGTTGCAACCAACCTGAAGGCCTGCAACCACTTCAGGCTGTACAACGGCAAGGCGGCCGAGCAGGAGCTAAGGGCTTTGCAGGTACCCAGTGGAAATTTACAGACGAGGCAGCTTCTGATTTAGATTACCAGAAGCTGTGGCGACTCTAAGTTTTGTTAGGGTATCAATGGTACCAGAAAGTGTGAATATATGGACCGATTATCTATTTATTTGCAGATAAAATTTATAGCGGGAATGTGAAGTATTCGTGCAATGAGAATGGTGCTGAGTGATCTACAAGTATCAAGGATATCAGGGAATGTGAATAAATAGAGCCAAAAATTTATATTTTTATTTGGAGACAAAAATTTGCAGCATGAACGTAAGTATTAATGCAATGAGACAGGAGCTAAGAGCTTTGCAGGTATGAGAAATACGCAGCGCTATTGACACCTATCGGTATCAGAATAATAATTAGTCTAGAGTTTTCAGATAGCCTAATACATTAACCAACGAGTGCGAATATATTTGTGTGATTTTACAGTTTGCGTATTCACGCGTATACAGGAGCCCGTAATTTCACTAATGATGTGCCTATAGTGAAATATCACAAGTGACAAAAAGTCACCGATAGTTCATAAAGTCTCTAACTTCCAGTGCTTGCATTTTACAATAAAAAATGAATCTCAAATGATATAAAATGATCATGACCAAATTATGTTGTGAATGCGTCGGTACTGAAACGAAAAAAATATCTAGATAAATAAAAAATGATCGTGACGAAATTCTGTTCTTTGCGTCGGTACTAAATTGAAAATATATTGATAGATAAAAATAAAATGATCATGACGAAATTCTGTTCTGAATGCGTCGGTACTCAATCGAAAAAGTATATCTAGGTGAATATAAAATGATCATGACGAAACTCTGTTGTTTGCGTCGGAAATCAATCTAAAAAAACATTTAGATAAATATAAAATAGATAAAAAATAGATAAAAAATAAATAAATAAAAATAAAATAGATAAAATCTAAAAAATATATCTAGATATATATATAAAATGATCATGACGATATTCTGTCGTTTGCGTCGGTATTCATATTAAAAAAATATATCTAGATAAATATAAAATAACCATAACAAAATTCTGTTGTTTGCGTCGGTACTAAATAAAGAAAAATATATCTATATAAATATAAAATAACCGTAACAAAATTCTATTTTTTGCGTCTGTACTAAATTAAAAAATAGATTTCTACATAAATATAAAATGATCGTGACGAAATTCTGTTGTTTGCGTCGGTACTCAATCGGAAAAAATATATCTAGATGAATATAAAATGATCGCGACAAAATTCTATTCTCCGCTTCGGTACTAAATCGAAAAAAATATTTCTACATAAATATAAAATGATCGTGACGAAATTTCGTTCCTTGCCTCGGTACTAAATCGAAAAAATTATCTAAATATATATAAATGATCGTGACGAAACTCTGTTGTTTGCGTCGGTACTCAGGACAGTAGCTCTGCGCCTCTGACGTTCGCCCAAGACCTGGTGCGCCACAACCTCGTGGTCTTCAGGAGCGGCGAGGGCGCCTTGCAGGTCTTGCCATCCCTGGTGGATGTCATCCCTGAGGCCAGACTGAACCTGGTCATCTACTATCTTAAACAGGTACATTGTTAGGGCAGACTGAACCTGGTCATCTACTATCTTAAACAAGTATATTGTTTTGGCAGACTGAACCTGGTCATCTACTATTTTAAACAGGTACATTGTTATGACAGACTTAACTCGGTGTTTCACTATCTCGAACCGTTATATTGCGAGTATACACGCAAACTTTGTTATCAAATACCTAATTCTCATCGAACAATATGATCGATTAAATATGTAAAATTATCTATGTTCAAATGTAAAAGTGAATCTAACGCGAATAATTTTACCGCAATTGCACATTGATATGGGACAACATTTTTCTAAATTGAAAATTGCACTTCCATTTTGGCTCCGTTTTGTTACCGGAGAGAAATTGGGTAACTCATTGTGCTTATAAAATCCCCAAATAATTTATGGAGCCCAGATATCATTTCAGTATTCGAAAACAATTTGTTCTAGACCAGCAAAAATATGAGTACTTTGAAGACTGGTAATCAAATTAGGATTTATATTGGGCATTGAACAGACAGTTAGGTTGTTGTTGGCAGCTAACGCAGATATCTTAAGATCTTCTATCTTAATAACTACTATCTTAAGATCTACTATCATCAGATATATCATCTTAAGAACTACTACCTTAAGAACTACTATCTTAAGAAGTACTATCTTAAGATCTACTATTTTAAGATTTACTATCTTAAGATCTATTATCTTACGATCTTCTATCTTACGATCTTTTATCTTAAGATCTACTATCTTAAGATCTTTTTTCATTAGGGCAGACTGAATGAATAATGAAAGATCTACTATCTTAAGATGTACTATCTTAAGATTTACTATCTTAAGATCTACTATCTTAAGAACTACTATCTTACTAAGAAGTGCCGTATGTGCAGGATGAGGTGCAGGAAGCGTACCTCCTCCTCACCCAGTCAGAAATCGCTGCAGTCTGGAAGCCAGCCGCGGGTGAACTTGCCTGCGCCAACGCTCGCCCCAGCGCAACGCCAGGGTGATCAACAGCGCAGGAATGTCCACAGCAGCGCAATATTGTGGCACTATTATCTTACGATTTTCTATCTTATGACCCACTATCTTAAGAACCACAATCATAAGATCTTCTGTCTTAAGAACTGCTATCTTAAGAACTGCTATCTTACTAATAAGAAGTGCCGTATGGGCAGGATGAGGTGCAGGAAGCGTACCTCCTCCTCAAGGACCTCGAGCCGACGGTGCCGCAGGAATACATCCTCAAGGGCGTCGTGAACGCGGCCATTGGCCAGGAGTCCGGATCGGTAATTTTGTTGTCAATACTTAGTTATTAATTATCAGTTTCTAAAAGCCTACGCTAAGTACATAAAATGAATTGAGTTATTCATAAGGCATAATTAAAGTGCAGGCAACGAAGTTGAGAAATGCGGAGAATTATGGATAAACCATAGAGAGAGCGAGAGAGGTTAAAGGTGTCGTCCTTGGGATAGTGGACAGGGTGGCCCAGTGGTTACAGTTAGAGTCCCACGATTGAAGCAGCGAGCTATAGGTTCGGTCCCAACCGTCCCAGCTCTGAGTAACATTTCTGGTCAGAATCGGCGAAGAGACCGAGTGGTTAAGCACAACAAAATTGGAGCAGAGAGTTGCGTGTTCGAGACCGCAACAAGCTGTGAATTTTCTACGATTTAATGAATCGGCGACAGGCCTGTGGCCTAGTAAACGCTAAAATCGCTACAAATGAGGCAGTAAAGTGACGAAATATGCTAGAAGTTGAATCGCTGTGAACAGCAACGCAATCATAATCACTAGAAGATAATTATTTACTTTCATCTTTGGGAATTTTTTCCCACTGGCTCAGAAAATTATATGGCATTTGTTCAACTATTTGCAATTTTTACATCGGAACAGCGCGAGAATCTGAAGGTGGCGCAGCAGTACTTCCAACTGGTGGGCGGGTCGGCGTCTGAGTGCGACACCATCCCGGGCCGGCAGTGCATGGCATCCTGCTTCTTCCTGCTCAAGCAGTTCGACGACGTGCTGCTCTACCTCAACAGCATCAAGTCTTACTTCTACAACGATGACACCTTCAACTTTAATTATGCCCAGGTAATCAGCACGAAAAGTAGGTTCACTTTTATATCACTGATACCTTCAACTTTAACTACGCACAGGTAATCAGCACGAAAAGTAGGTTCACTTTTATATCGATGACACCTTCAACTTTAATTATGCCCAGGTAATCAGCACGAAAAGTAAGTTCACTTCTACAACGATGACACCTTCTACTTTAATAGCACCCAGGTAATCCTCATGCAAATTAGGTTAACGTCTACAACGATGACACTTTCAACTTTAATTACGCTCAGGTAATCCACTACGAATTTAGATTTGCTTATGCAACGATGTGGCCTACAAATTAAATCACAAAAAATTCGTCTACAAATATATATATTTTAATACTTCTCTCCTAACTTTGTCGTTTCGACATTTTCTACTTTCATAACACCCAGTTCAACAACAAATCAAAGTTAAGTATTTATATTAAGAATTGACCCGCTAACTTCAATTTCACGAAAAAACTTACTCTGACTTCGAAAACTTTGTCTGCAACTATGACACCAAACTTGACTTTCTCTCAAGCAATTATTGAAAATCATGAGTAATTCCCACGATATTTGAAATTCAACCTGATTAATGTTCTGTAATGCAAACAAAATAGTTCTGGCGGTCCAGCGAGCCAGTGATAGTCTTAGAACTAATAGTGGCCTGAGTGACCTGTAGAACTGACCTATCACTACTATAGGTCACCTTAGGTAACCCCAGATAGGTCATCCATAGTCGCCACTAACAGGATGGGCAATTTCAACACATAACAGTAACCCCAATTATACGCACAGCAAAACAAGCGACGAAACACGTATTTTTCATTATATAATGAATATATACTATATAGAGTATTAGAAAATACTAATATATTATACTATTGGGCATACTTCATGTAGTTATTTCGGTAACTGATGAACGTGCCTAGATGATCGAAGCTTAAAAATGCTGAAAGTGATGCATTTCTGTAGAGTGAAAACTCATGTTAAGTGTGTAGTTTTTTTCAGGTTATTCATAATTAACAATGAGTTGATGATGTTGGACGAGATGGGCATTCGTTGGCTCAATTATGCATCTTGCTAAAACACACTTCACATTTTTTCTTCGGTGAAAGTGATTGAAACCATCTATTCAAAATAAACGAACAATATTTGAGTTGAAATAAAAATGTTTATTTAATTTATAATTTTTGGATTATCATTGCAGGCTAAAGCAGCGGTGGGGGACTTCAAGGAGGCAGAAGAGGTATTCTTGCTCATCCAGAACGAGAAGGTCAAAAGCGACTACGTATATTTATCGTGGTTGGCCCGATGCTGTGAGTTAGCTGCTAGTTTCTTGATAACTGAGAAACTAAATAAATGAATAAGCACTCTAAATTCCATAGATCAATTAACGCACTGAATAACCGTGAAATGTCTCGTGATTTATACAATCAACTTGTAGTGTCCAACTTGTATTGGATTGTCACTTTTTGAAAACTTAGGGCGAGATTTAAAAGAAATTCATTGTGAGATTTCGTTTAGTATTTTGTTATCAGGAGAGCTTATTGGGAACATTTGATTCGTTGCTGGATGGTTAAATCAAATATGGTCGCTTCCTGACTTATACATCATGGATAACCTCCAGATTCAGTACTATCACGTCACGTTTTTTATATATTAGACATTTTAACTAACTAAAAATAATAAATTAAATATTCTGTCTATAGCGATAAGCATCGCAGCATATAATTTTTGGATTCTATGATTAGTTAATTATTCATCTAATTCCACGATTAATTATTCGAAATGAAAATAATCTCACCAACCAATATAAAGTTAAATTGACGTTTATGCGCCCAGACATAATGAACAACAACCCGCGCATGGCGTGGGAGTTGTACCTGAAGATGGAGACGTCGGGAGAGGCGTTCAGTTTACTGCAGCTCATCGCCAACGACTGCTACAAGATGGGGCAGTTCTACTACGCGGCCAGGGCCTTCGATGTCCTCGAGAGGCTCGATCCCAACCCCGAGTACTGGGAGGGGAAACGAGGGGCCTGCGTGGGCATGTTCCAGATGGTCATTGCTGGCAAAGAACCAAAGTAAATAAATATTCTTAACATAACATAAGTGTGTTAGAGCATAAGTGTGTTAGAGCATCATAAGTGTGTTAGAACATAAGTGTGTTAATTAACCATTTAGTATTGGAATGGTAAATTATATTGGCATAGAAAGTTAAAATAGTCCATTCATGTTTCAATTGTGTTCGCGAAAAAAAACCTCAAGCTTGAGATTTTACCAGTAAAAATTGTTGTCTATGACACAGAGAGACGATCGGTGACATCGTGATGCAGCTGCGGTCTGCCAACAACCCTCAGGTGGAAGGCATCCTCAGGGTTGTCACGAAGTACGCAAAGGAGAATCGAATCGCCATTTAATTAACCTTTTAGCTGCAACTCATCAAGTTTTATAAAGTTCTCCATTTAAAAAAGACAACATCTCACGTCGATTTATTTCTAAGTTAATTGAAAGTACTTAACTCAAATAGCGGGAAGTTAAATGGCGCTGTCTAGCTGAAGTGAACCAACATTTTTCATGCAATTGGCAATTGTCATTTTCAAAGGCTGTGTGCAATTAGTAGTAATGGTAAATGATTTGCGTAATTACTAATGAGAAGTGATCATTAGAAAGGATGAACGCACATTTTAAGATAGATGTGTAAACAATAACGGACATGTCTTATAACACATCAAGTTTTTAAATATTTTCAAAGTTTTCTATTATGGTTAAAACATTACTCACATAATATAATATGCATAAAATAAATAATATGTATATGTTGTAACGTCGTTGTAAGAAAACGTTCATGTTCGCATCATTATTTGATGCGAACATGAACGCATCATTTGATGCAGAAGCAGTTGGAATGGCTTACTAAGAGAAATGAATGAGACTTAGTCTAAATAGAGATGCACTTATTGCCTATCATTATCCAAAATTCTTTCTATCAAAATTCTTTTTCTCATTCTACAAAATAATCCATTTCCAGTGAGTCGATGATGTTCACAGAATCTGTTGAAAAATTATTACATTGTATACAAGATTGTGATTGATTTCTACCTGCTCAGTTGTCCATGAATAGTTGGCATTGTCCAAAATTTCACCAAAGTACAAGCCACAATTCAAATTCATGACTACAAAAATGGGCAATCAAATGGGTATGAATGACCAAAAACAACAAAAATCTAAGGTCTTCCCTGACGCGTCATAAATTGCCACCACGATTATATAAGCTACAGAATACAGGACTACAATCTTATGTAGGCTACCCAAGTGAAGCTTGGAAAACCCAATTACAGTTCTGAGTTGCTTAAACCGACGTTTCCTTCACTACCGCACTAACATGTAATTGGAAAACAAGAGGAAAGTCGGGTGTTGGTGCTCTGTACGAGCAAGTGTAGCGGGGTCACAGGTATCACCAGGTCACAGGTATTATCGGGACGCTGGTATCACAAGGTCACATGTATTACCAGGAAGCAGGTATCACCAGGTCACAGATGTTACCGGGACGCAGGTATCACCAGGTCACAGGTATTACCGGGACGCAGGTATCACCAGGTCACAGGTGTTACCGGGAGGCAGATATCGACAGGTCAAAGGTAGGGCACGGAAGGATAAACTCAGGTGAAGGTTGTGCAAGTGCCCTGTGGATTAATAAAGCGCCAAGGATGAAGAAGAGTCAGTACCGTTACTCGTGGCTGAGTAGCCTAGTGGTGGCCATGTCAGGGAGTGTATCAGAAAGTTAAGACTTGCTGGGCACGTCCCATAAATTCCATGAGACATGAAAATACAAATGGTAACTGGCTAAGCAGAATGCGAGGTGGGCAGTCGACCAATATACGATTAACCGCTGTTGCTGTGCGTGATGTATTTACTTGACATCACTCGTTTCAAAAGGATTCTATCCTCTATCGAATTCAGCACGAGAAATTCCGCGATTTTCCAAAGATTTACTAAGTATCATGACTTTTTTAATTCAACTCGAATGTTCTCCCATAACTAGAAATTTGTTCACGTTCCAGTGGCAAAAAGCCTGTTATAATTTCCCGAGTATCTGTTCAGCCGTTAGTAAAAAATAATTTTTATTAATAACTTTTTAAATTCAACTCGAAAATTCTCTAAAACTTAGAAATTTATTCACTTTAGAGCGCAAAAAGTCTGTCATAATTTCAAGATTTTTTCAACCTGGACCACATCATTCATTACTCCCAGTTTCAAGTAATTACCATAGCATTTATAGGACATATATAATAGCTCCATACACCTGCGTGTCTGACTAGCAATTTCAACTCAATCGATAATTTACGGACCCGCCTGCGGACTCGCCTGCGGACTCGCGCAACTGGGCCGCTCATAATTCCTTCAATACTTAACGGATCTGCATGAATTTTGGAATATGTGTATTAATTATCGATACGCTGCCGCAGGAATTATTACGAATTATTACAGATTTTTACATGAATTATTTTTTAATTAAAACCAATAAACGTATTTTTTAATCGAGGGAGGAATTATGAGCGGCCCAGTTGCGCGAGTCCGCAGGCGAGTCCGCTGGCGAGTCCGTAGAATTGTCGATCGAGTGCAAGTTCAGCTATCCGATCCTGACTTGTGAACTTAATTTGGTGATTTCACCATATACCTTAGCACCTCTCTAAGTTTGCTTGTTATGCCCAGTCGCGTGAAAGGTTCTGCCGAAGCAAGTTGCGACTGTAGCTATTTTGTTCAATAAAGTTGATAGGTTACATGTCTAGAAACAGACAGCTATTCGTCGATAGGTTTTCAACATGGTTGAAACCATGTTGACTCGACCAACAGAAGACTCGATCCTATGCTGCTCAGAGTCGGGTCAGTCAACTCTAAATATCCCTCTCTCGTTCAAAATTGTTTAGATCTTAATGTTTTACTTTTCCGATCCGCTTTCCCTGCGGAAGGCGGATGTCTGGTTTACACTCCAAATTTGTCAATGTCAGGTTAGACTTCAGCAAGGCGCAAGGCAGACTCTATGATGATAATGATGTAATGTGTACTTATCGTGTATGTTGTCACCGTCACCGTTGTGTATGACTGTATGTTGCAGTCATCGTCAGTGATACTCGTATCGTAGACAGTAATCACAGGATTCACAGCATGATGGTTTACAGTTCTGGAATTAAGGGAAATCATTTCCAGACGGGAGAGAAGCTTGAACCGTTGTCGAAAGAGGACGTTCCTGCAAACCTCTCTGTTTCCCTATAATTGTGATTTGTGAAAGTGACTAACGATACCTCAATGATCAATTCATCTGAGGGTCAAGATCTCATTGATCCTGGTGCTTCACCAAACGCATCAGAGTTGACAATGACCGATTCGCAACTCAGACATTTCTGTGAAACTGAGATTATTATCGGAAAAGAAGCAACTCCTTCCTCATCCCAAGATGGCGACTCACCAGAAAGTGGAGCGGCTCGTCGGAAGCGCAAGAGTGCGCCTGATGCCATTGAAGAAATGTCAGGAGATACAAAGAAGCGGCCCAATACTGGAACGATCTCAGCTCCCATAGTGAAATCTACGCAGAGGAATACGAATACCAATGTTGTTGGATCGCAATCATCGCAGAGTTCGCACTTGCCCACCTCAACTGATCAACAAGATTCCTGGGTGGTCCTTATCCGCCCAGCAGATGATGGCTCTAAACGGATGCTGACCTCACCAGAGCAGCTCTGCTCAGTACTGGAAGCACCACCATTTTCAACCATGCGTGTGGAAGATATTCGAGTGAACCGCAGAAAAGGTTTGATTGCCGTTCAGCTATTTGATGGCAGTGAAGAGGATATTGCCTCTCTTTTGCAAATGACTCAGCTTGGCCCATGGTCAGTTAAGTGCTCCCAACCTAATCAAGGGAAGTATTGTTATGGAGTCANGCATCAATGCCCTGGGAGTCCCTCACATTTCTGTGCGTGTGCTTCTCGGTGGAGGCAATTACCCCAGAAGAGTTCAGCACTCCATAGTGCGAGCAACTGCTGCGTATCTCACACAAACTGGTCGTCTAACTACCTTATAGCCAATGAAGAATACTGGACCTAATGACAATCTCCCTCTCATCGCTACACATCATGAGAAACCAATGACAATGTGGAGAGCATGCACCAATGGAAAGAGGAATTAAATTGAAAATGAAAGATGAAGAAATGTCTTAAATAATCATTGCTGAGTCCAGGTGTTACAAGCGGTCCACGCATGACTTCTTTTTCACCTCCAAACCGGCATCAAATCAATCAATCATTTCCAGACTCCTGTGCCAAATCCTCGTGACCTCGTATGCTCGTAACTCTGACTCATTGCCCCTAAAATTATTACTGCCATTTACTGGTGTTGGTGTAGAGGTGTTTGAAATAAATTATAAACAATAAATTTTATGAACAGAATGGATGCCACTTTTTGTCTTTTGAGTGCAATCATGGCTTTTGGCTAGGAAACTGCTTTGTAATTGTACATAGTAGTTCTTATGTGCAAATCTAAGTTATCTAACCATAGAATAAAATGCTAGAAATTATACTTCTGATCAACATTATGTGGCTTTTGCTGAATGGCAAGGTGCATAAATTAGCAGCATAATTAGTGCTTAATGGCACACCAGAGACTTTAGAACCAGTTAATTTTTAATATCCTTGTCTACTAAAGATTTGAACCACTAGGAATACGAATACCTACCAATCTTGAATTGAGTATGAAAATGCTGGTGGTGGTGTCCATGATAGATCATAGATGATGCTTCAATCAAGTTCACTAGTGTACTTATAGCCTTAAGCTTAAGAGAATAAGAGTTAGGACTCAAATAATATGTATTTAATTTTTGAAAATTACTTTTTAAATCCTTAAGAATCCAGTGTCTCTGATTTTATACATGTACAATGAATTTCTAGTTTTATTTTCAGAGCTACATAAAAAATAGTTTTTAGTTTTTTATTAACAGTGTTGCTACTGTTGCATATTTCAATGGTTACAGTTGAAAATCCCTTATTCAGGTTATTGTGTTAAAGTGTTCATACTGTAATTGAGAGTTCATTATATTTTAGATGAGTGATGAAATTTATTACATTCAGATAGTTACTCATCAAAATCTTTAAGAATGAGTGTCTTCAAAAAAAAGCCAACTATGAAAGGTGAGCAAATATGACCGCCCTTCTAATAACTAGTGTGACAAAATATAAAAACAAAGTACTTTGTTATTCAAATTTAAGACAACCAGCATAGAAACCTACATTAATTCACTTGATCCTTATAAGAATTGAGAATTTCTTAAAATATATATAAAAAATAAATAAATGCTCAATGATGACCTTACTCCTTTGCAGAGCAGATGCGCACAAACGAGAGGGAGCTGCGCAAGGCTGGCACTTCCGTCACAAGGAATAGGAATGAACTTGAGAGAGAAGAGAAGAAGTTGGAAGGTGAGGTGACCATTGCTCTTGTCTTGTGTTGAGCTTCATGGCTGAAAACTGATGTTGCTTCCCAGTAATCTTGAAATATCTAGTTTCTGCTTTGCTTTGAGTTTTATGATATGATGTAGATACTAACATTGTGGTTATCGTTGTGCACATGTTACTTATAATTGATGAAAATATAATTTTGGAGAAAGTATGAAAATCACTGCTTATAACAGGCACCACATTAAAAGTTTGTTTTTCTTAAGCTTCTTGGCTCTACCATATTTGTTGCATTTTGATGAGCAGGAATGAATGCCACTTCTATAGAAATTTCTAAGAATTATAAGAACCACACCTACTGATAATCATCAAAGTAGGACACAAATTTTCTCCCTTCCTCCATCACCCTAACTTACCCAACTTTCTGCATTACCCTAACTTATATCCCATCATGCATTGCCCTAATTTATATCCCATCCCACATTACCCTAACCTACCTCCCATCCCACATTACCCTAACCTACCTCCCATCCCACATTACCCTAACCTACCTCCCATCCCGCATTACCCTAACATATCTCTAATCCTGCATTGCCATAATTTATCCCCTGCATTGCAGCGGAGATCAAGAAGCTTGCCAAAACGCCCGGCAACCAAGAAGCCCTCCGTGTCTTGGCCAAGCAGCTTGTTCTTGTCAGAAAACAGAAGACTCGATCCTATGCTGCTCAGAGTCGGGTCAGTCAACTCTAAATATATTCAAATGTATATGTTATCTCATTATTATAAGTAATTATGCTTAGGTATTGTTTGCTATGATATATTAGTAATGATGCCATGTTTCAAGAACATTTATGTATTAGCACAAACAAACGTGTCACAAGATGGTGCAAGGCTCAGGTGTTGTGCCATATCAGCTCCTTGTATCAGAATGAAGCATCCCCTTGCAGAAGAGGGTCTATTATTCTGACACAATTATTGCTTGCAAAAGATTCTTGGTCTGCTAAATTTTTGAAAATGAATATCTGCTTAGAATTAGAATTGAATATTTACTTAGACTCTAGAAATCCTTTGTAGTTCCACCACTGTCACCCTACCTTGTCAACATGATGATGTTGCTCCCTACCACACTAACATGACAATGATGTAACTGTAATGTCATCCCGCCAGATCACAGGGATCAGCTGCCAGCAGAAGGCCATGGGGGCAAACGTGAAGCTGGCTGAGTCCATGAAGTCTGCCACATCCACCATGGCCTCCATGAACAAGATGATGAACCCGCAGGCCGTGGCGCAGGATATGAGGAACTTTGAGAAGGCCGCTGCCCAGCTCAACATGACGGATGAAGTGGGTGAGTGGACGAAATGAATGAAGTGGGCAACAAGGCAGCCTGGAGACACTTTGTGTGTCATCTGTGATGGTCCCACTCCTGAACCTCACACTGAGAACTAGATATGAATGCTAATATGACTTGAATGTAAGCAATCCTGTTGCCTTGTTAACAATGCCTGACGTAAGAAGGCAATTCTAAAGCAATTGTTTTTGTGCAGTTAACGACACGCTGGACGACATCCTGAACGAGTCCGGGGACGAGGAGGAGGGCGACCAGATCGTCCAGCAAGTCCTGGAGGAGATCGGCATCGAGATGGGCAGCGCCGTGCGCGGGGCGCCTACACCCGCCGCTCACCTGCCGGGCGCTACCAAGACTTCTGACGTCATGACGGACGACCAGCTCATGGAGAGCTTGGCCAAGCTGAGGGCTACATAGTGGAGCTGAGGGCTACATAGTGGGGTGCATGGTGTGCTGCATGGGGGCGGGGCTACATGGTCTTGAGAGACCCTTGTCTCCACCAGACCATCTTCACCACACTCCAGATCATCACCACACCCCAGACCATCATCACCACACCCCAGACCATCATCACCACACCCCAGACCATAATCGATACACTCCATACCATCATCACCACCAGACCGTCATCACCACACCCCAGACCATCATCGCCACACCTCAGACCTTCATCACCACCAGATCATTATCACCACCAGACCATCATCATTTTCGAGTTCCAGCCCCTGATTGTATGGTTTGCACCCGCGATTCTCAGGACCTCATTTAATTACTCGTTTACATCATTGCGATAAGAGACCTCAACCCAAATCATGATAAGGAAGCGTCGTTAAAATCACAAACTCGATGTACCATACCATTGTAAATTGAAGTGATCACTTTTAAAATTTTGCCCGAGTTAAAAAAAAGTGATTTCTGGCAAGATTTATATTATTGCTGTGCCTTTATCGCGTATGATGCGTGGCTGCTGAAAGGCTCTTAACTGCGCCTTGTCCCCTACAGTCGCGGGAACAAAGTAACTCTGTCCTCTTGCAGCGTAGGGCGGATGGCCTCACAAGACCATCAAAGTGGGCCTAATATTAAGCCTTCCACAGCAGCCTAGCCGATTCTTCCCCTACCATGGAGCTGCTGATTACAAGTATAATTATTAATGTCTAATTTCTAATGTAATACATAACACCTCTGTGATTCCGTCTCTTTGCCGTGCGTCGTGAGAATCATTTGTGTGCGCGGCCCTGCACTGGCACGGCCCTGCACTGGCACGGCCCTGCACTGGCACGTCAGGCACTGGCACGGCCCTGCACTGGCACGTCAGGCACTGGCACGGCCCTGTACTGGCACGGCCCTGTACTGGCACGGCCCTGCACTGGCTTTGGTCAGCTTGTTACTGTACTGAACTAAGATTGTGTGTAAAGGAACTGTGATTGCGTCTTGTCTGAATATGTTATAGCAAATGACCAAGAATTGTGATTGACTAGGATTTTATATATTTTTCTTTTTATTGTGATTTTTTTCCGTATTACAAGAATAAAATGCAAGATTACTAGAACTGGAATTGACTTCATTGCCTCCGCATCTATGATGAAAGACAACGGCATCTACAATAGGAGATAACGCATCTGAGATACGAGATAAAAATATCTACTATATGAGATGATGATATGTATTATATGAGATAAAGGTATGAGAAAGAATGAATGACCACACAATCGGACAAATAAAGTCTTATAAACTCTATTCAGATTTATTGGAATTTATTCGAATAGATGTTATGAACACCGGTTGACTAACATAATGATGGTCCGGTTGACAAAGGAAAATCCTCTCAGAGGCATTTCCCAATTGGTTCGCTGATACTGAAACAAAAAATTGACAACTTACTAATTAAACGGTTACTACCTATGTAATGACCTATTCAAAATTATGAATAAAACGAGGCCACAAGTATAAATAACAAAATTAACAAACATAAGAATTGGGTGCGTCATAGTGCTGAAAGCTTATAAGAAAGTAGTTGGTTAACAGGGAACTTTGGATAAATCAGTAAGAGGAAGGTATATACGCTAGACGTGAAGGTAGGATAGGATAGTTGGAAATTTGACTTCTGGAAATTAGAGAAAGATTATAAGAAACGTAGGTCTGAGCTATGGAAACTTGTTCCACGGCAGGCACAACTGGCGAACACGCTTCTATGTATTTGAAATTTAATGGTTTGATTAATATTACAGAAATTGATCGAGTAAATTGTCTAGATTGCCGTACAAAACTTGAATACAGAGCCTAAGTCATTAAATACAAAATAAACATTCACACAAATAAAAATAGTGAAGAAGCAGAAAGGAAGATGTTTAGGACTGATGTTGATGCCGAAGTCAACGAAGTGAGTAAATGAGAATTGATGCTCTGAAAGAGCAGAGGCACGTCAAGTGAATGAAATTTTTTCACACAAGATCGCTGACTAAACCGTATAGATGCTGATTAATTAATGAAAACCCTAGCTGAGACTACTACCTAAGTAAACTGCGGAACTAAATATAATATAAACGACAACTAATATTTCAAAATCAACTAAGAGCATAAATGAGCAATGGAAGGGAAAATTTCCCACAAAGGTGCCAACAACATAAGATGAAGATATTGAGGGAAGTTGAGTAATCTCGCTGAAGATTGAGGAATACTATTCGTTTAATATTGTGCTGACGATTTTATATTAGACTGAGGCTTCCCTAAATGTAGGTAGGGTAATAGGGGATGCAGGTCCGTTGTCCAGTTTATTTAGTTTGGTGTCAACATGTACGTAAAATAGGCCCAGTGTATAGATATCACAACACTTATAAGGAACTACTAAGGAGGCGCGGTGGCAACCTCTCGTGTTGGCGTCAGAGCAAGAGTGAGGGGCTCGGAAATCGGAATAGGCCTCCGGGAAACCGGAAGTCTTTCAAAATGTTTGTAAAGACTCTCCTTGTAGGTCTTTAAGGTCGTAGAGGACAGTAATGAATACACGGTTTCGTAGGTGATTTTTGACCGGTTTCTGAAATCAGTACAAAAAACATAGCATAAGAAATAAATCGACAAATCTATATATAATGACAATATTCACAGTTTTAGCTAATCCTTAAACTAATCAAGCAAATCTTACCAAATTACTGGGGGTTCATACATATACATCAGCTGACAGACGACTAATAAACTACTACGCGAATACAAGAAAACTTCTACTCTATAGTCGGCCTAAAAGGAATACGGACGTTTCTAATGCTTTTAACAATGTTGCCATCGTTAGGTATCAAATTGTGCTATGGTTGCTGTTCTAGTGTTCAATTTTATAATTGTTCTTATCGGATCTTAAAAGTATTATAAAACACTTCGCAAATTATGTTTGTTATAGTTGACTATGACTTTTGTTGTTACTAGTAGAACGGTTAAAGCCGGAGAAATTTACTGACGCAGGAGTCGGTTGATCGATCGTTTGGCGGGGCACGACGTCGATCAATTCACCGTCCACGATCAGCACCGCATGCTGTGTAATCGGGACATGTAACAAAGTTAATGCGTCTATTTTTATTGTAAATGAAAATTAAAATGCATATTTAACGATACAAAACAAGAAATTTCACTATGAGTATCATGAAGATAGAACTAAAATAATTAACAGATTAGCACTGAGAAGCCACTTGCAGATACCATTAATTGGATGTTAACGAATAATTGTTGTGATGAGCTCTGCATGACCGATTAACGCTCAAAATTGAATAATTAATTCCAAATTCGGTCCTTGGTGGACATTTTACATGAACCAATCCTCTTTAATTGTTTGCATGATAAACTATAGACGAAGTAAGAAGTTGAGGACACATAGCTATGAGTTACTCCTGAGAAATAAAATTAGGGAAATGTCGTCATCGCTGCTCACATCACGACATTATGTTTAGTAGACGGTCTGGTCACAGGTGCAAGAATGAAGCATTTCAAAATTGAGGCGGGTTTTCACGTAAAATACACACTCGTGCACACTCGTGCACTTGAAAGTGTTCAATAGTGTTGCAATATCTTGCAATATCTTGCAATATCTTGCAATATCTTGCAAGATATTGCTAAATCTTGCAAGATATTGCTAAATCTTGCAAGATATTGCTAAATCTAACGGGATTAACAAATTTGTGATGATGGCTCAATTTATTGGAGAATATTCCCATGATGAAGTCTATATTCTAATATGTTAGAAGCTTGTTAGAAGCTGGGGCAAAGGAAGTGTCACCAACTCGCTTGTGGAAGGTAAAAGCAAGGAAGAATTATTGAATGCTGAAATAGACGCGCAGCTTGAATATTCGGCAAGTAGAACGGTTAAAGCCGGAGAAATTTACTGACGCAGGAGTCGGTTGATCGATCGTTTGGCGGGGCACGACGTCGATCAATTCACCGTCCACGATCAGCACCGCATGCTGTGTAATCGGGACATGTAACAAAGTTAATGCGTCTATTTTTATTGTAAATGAAAATTAAAATGCATATTTAACGATACAAAACAAGAAATTTCACTATGAGTATCATGAAGATAGAACTAAAATAATTAACAGATTAGCACTGAGAAGCCACTTGCAGATACCATTAATTGGATGTTAACGAATAATTGTTGTGATGAGCTCTGCATGACCGATTAACGCTCAAAATTGAATAATTAATTCCAAATTCGGTCCTTGGTGGACATTTTACATGAACCAATCCTCTTTAATTGTTTGCATGATAAACTATAGACGAAGTCAGAAGTTGAGGACACATAGCTATGAGTTACTCCTGAGAAATAAAATTAGGGAAATGTCGTCATCGCTGCTCACATCACGACATTATGTTTAGTAGACGGTCTGGTCACAGGTGCAAGAATGAAGCATTTCAAAATTGAGGCGGGTTTTCACGTAAAATACACACTCGTGCACACTCGTGCACTTGAAAGTGTTCAATAGTGTTGCAATATCTTGCAATATCTTGCAATATCTTGCAATATCTTGCAATATCTTGCAATATCTTGCAATATCTTGCAATATCTTGCAATATCTTNATTATTAATTATTAATTATTAATTATTAATTATTAATTATTAATTATTAATTATTAATTATTAATTATTAATTATTAATTATTAATTATTAATTATTAATTATTAATTATTAATTATTAATTATTAATTATTAATTATTAATTATTAATTATTAATTATTAATTATTAATTATTAATTATTAATTATTAATTATTAATTATTAATTATTAATTATTAATTATTAATTATTAATTATTAATTATTAATTATTAATTATTAATTATTAATTATTAATTATTAATTATTAATTATTAATTATTAATTATTAATTATTAATTATTAATTATTAATTATTAATTATTAATTATTAATTATTAATTATTAATTATTAATTATTAATTATTAATTATTAATTATTAATTATTAATTATTAATTATTAATTATTAATTATTAATTAATAATTATTAATTATTAATTATTAATTATTAATCAATAATTATTAATAATTATTCTTTATTCTTTCTTTCTTTATCAGTGGCTCACACTGATAATTACTGACTTTTATTATCAGTGGCTCACGCTGATAAGACTAAGTTGATGCTTTTTACTCACAGACCCGTTTCCTTTCCACGTGAAATCACTTTTAGTGGGACAGTTTTAGAATGGGTCGATGATTTTAGATATCTTGGTTTAATAATCGACAATAAGTTTTCCTACAATAAACACATTACCTACGTCTGTCATTTTTTTCTCCAAATTTTTGCCATTTTCTTGTTATGAATTTTTTTGCATGCTCCTGTGTGAATAAAGAATAAAGAATAAAGAATAAAGAATTATTAATCAATAATTATTAATAATTAATTATTAATTATCAATTATTAATTATTATTTATTAATTATTAATCAATAATTATTAATTATTAATTATTAAATGAATCAATCATTGGGCATTGGTTACATCGATCGTAGAATGCTTGCATTCATGTCAATCATGCACATCATTCCCGAATCGTGATGCTAAATCTTGCAAGATATTGCAAGATATTGCAAGATATTGCAAGATATTGCAATGCATCAGGGACAGAAAACGACGCAAAGCTTATAGAGAATTATTCAAGTACTCTACTTTAGTAAGCGCCGGTTTGCGCACTGACAGTAGATTGTTGTAGCTAAATAACTAATATGAGCTTTCTTCCAATAGATCGATCGGCCTTAGATTGTAGGGTACAGCTCAAAATTGATATTTGGATGCGCAGAGGAAGTTTGTGAAATCAAAACTATGAACGGGGGGAGGTAAATCTATCAAAGAATCAATGCTATAGCTGAAATTTTTAATCCTATTAAGTGAGCTGCTTCTTTAAATCTCCTGAATTTGAGATGTAGCTTTTAAACGTTAGAATTACGGCCATCATAGATTTTCGACACGGCATCTGAATTCATCTTCCTCCACGTGGCCTGTTCGCTGTCGTGATAGTATCAGTAGATAATGAGTTTTATAAGCCCTGGACATAT